TGAGGACCATCCTCAGTGTAATGTGCCCAGAAAAGCAGTAAAAGCCTGTCCAGACAGGGGCCAGCGCCCTCTCTCTCTCTCGCTCAGAGAGTGGCCATGCCGTCCCGTTTTCTCCACAGAACTTCTGTTGTCCGTGTGTATTTCTTCATAGCAGCCACAACACACACGGATCCAGCCGGCCAGGGTCCGCATCAGAATGGATCTTTTCTCTCTTCCATAGCCCTAGTGTGTACGCACACTTACACACACACAGGCTACCACAGAAGTGGGCATGGGTGCTCCCCTCAATCATTGAGCTTATTGGGTTTTTTTTTAAAGTTCATTTATTTATTTTTAGAGAGAGGGGAAGGGAGGGAGAGACACATCAATGTGTGCCCGCCTCTCACCCTGGGGACCTGGCCCGAAACCCAGGCATGTGCCCTGACTTGGGACCCTTTGGTTCACAAGCTGGCACTCAACCCGCTGAACCATCCCAGCCAGGGCTCCTTCCCTCTTAATGTAGCCATCTTCTCCCATCCGCCTGCTGTTTGTCCCTTTGGGTCTCCGCTGCCACGCGTCCACAGGTCTGCCTGCCTTTCTCCCTGGCGGCCGCCTTTCTCTTCTCCCCTCGGAGAGCCCACCGGTAGCTGACTCTCACAGGGCGGGTTGTCTGTGCCTTGCTCTTCATCGGTCAATAAAAATAAATTACAAAATCATTTGTTTTATTTGTTCTTGTTACCTTGAGGGCTGTCTGAAATTGCCTTGCTTTGGAAAGCTGTATTTGCATATTCTCTGTGCTGGAGTCAAAGGCTGCAGCTGGGGTTTCGCTGCAATTTAAATATTAATAATACCTCCGAAACCGCTAGCTAGCTGGGGACTTTTTTTTTTTAACAGCCTGGCCCTTCTGCTCCTAGGTTGCTAACATAATTTAATCTTTGTCCTTTGCTTTGTATTTGTTTAAAGGGCCATTTTGAAGTCAACTGCAGCCAGCTGCTGCAGCCTCGTAGGTAGGAACTAGCTATTCAGCCCACGAACCTTAGTTTTTCTTAACGGCCCTAAACTAAGATTCAGTTCACTCCGGAGACAAAGGATTAGGCCGTAGGTAACACGTTATACCAATGAGCACCCTCTTTCACTAAGCCAGGATCTCAAACTCGAGCTTGCTTCTGAGTCAGATTGCTGGGTCCCACTCTGTTCCTAGTTCAGCAGGTGGAGAGCGAGGCACCAGGGTTTGCATCTCCAACAAGCTCCTGGATGATACTGTTACCTGCCTCCCGTCCCCACCAGGGGACCATGGTTTGAGAGTCACCACACTTCACTGCACAGTGAGCTGCTTTATGATCCCAGGTCCCCGAAACTAGAAGTCTGGAATGCTTGTCCCTTGGCCCCCATAAAATGGGGTGCGTCTCTGCAGTTCTCCATCCGCTCCAACCATTGCTTAAGATTTCCCTGATCGCTCAGACTCATCTCGGGATCAGCCCCCCTCGCTCCTCCCCAGCCCCTGCTCGCCACAGGCCCGGGCTGTCTCCAGGTCTCCTTCGTTACCTGCTTGCCCAGATTCATTTCTTTAATTTTCTCCTCATTATGGGCAGATTTACAGGCTGTCTGCGGCAGCTGCACGTCACTGGAGTACGGGAAGGGGGCCTCTGGCTCCGCCATCTCACAGCCTCTGATGAGCAAGTTCCCGAGGCGCCCGGCCAGCCAGCCCCGTTCTCTGTGGGGCTTCTGAGGGTGGACCCGCAGGGCCCCGCACCCTGCCCTCCCTCCGCGCTGCCTGCCTCCAGCAGCGCTGCCCTTATCTACGCCTCGCAGCCTTCGCGGCATACCTTCCGGGCGGGCGGCTTGGCCTCTTCTGCTCCCACCTCCCCAACAGATTTCTTTCCTTTTCTCCTGCGTGTTTTCGAGCCAGTACTTTGTTAGTGATTCCGGTTGCATTTCTGAGGAGGGAGATAATCTACCAAGTTCTTCTCCAGGGCCCTCCCTGCGCCTGCGTGACAATCCCTCCTCGTCTTCCTTGCCAGCTCCTTTGCAGAAGTTCATTTCCTGAAATGGTTACCAGACAGGGGGCCTGGCCCTGAGCGGGTCTACCTAGGGCCAGCTGTAGCCTGTGGGTTCTTGACTTCGTGTAGGAAAGCTTTCACAACACGAGTCCAGGTGGCTGGGCCGATGAGTTTACTAAAGCTGGGGACAGCGACACCAGGAAGGGCTGAGCACGGAAGCAGCAACAGGAGAGCCTAAGGGGCTCTCCTTGGCTCGCTGGGCCCTGGGGGCAGGTTCCGGGGATGAGCCTGGGACAAGCTGCCAGCTGCCCACTGCCTGAGAGTCTAGGAGACACGTGCCCACGAAGAAAAGTGGGGGAAGGAGAAGGGAATGGCGCAGGCTGCTCCCCAGAGGGAGGCCGTGCACTTGCTACCTTTGTCTGGTGGCTTTTATCTCTCTCTTGTGGGTGGGTATCTTAGGGGAGGTTTCAGGGGAGGGTTCCAGTAGAATATTCATCAGATCTCCAGGTGCACCCTTTCAGGGTCATGGTCTCCCCTGATTGGTCGGGTGACAGGGCAGGGGGTCATTAGTCATTGCACCTGCTTCTGGCGTAGCCCACCTGGTTTTGCTGCTTTTCCGGGCCTGGAGCTGAAACGCCGCCCTGAGGCCTGGATGTTGTCTCCAGGGAGGAAAGGTTGCCCTGGGGGTGAGGTCCTTGTTCTCCCAGTTGTGCCCCCTGCCAGGCCTTCCGCCCCGTGACCGTGTGCACCTGGCTGTACGTTGCAGAGCCACTTTGTTCAGCCATCTGCCTCAGTTTCCCGATTCCGCTTGCCTAGGAATTTTCCCAGCTTTTTACCACTTGTCTCAAAATGAGACCAAGTCTGTACAGAAACCAGTTCCCAAAACACTGCTTTGCTGAGAGGGCTAAGAATTGCGGGATGGAAGACTGGGGAGACACCTTCAAGCCAGAGGTGAAAGGAACAAGTAGATTGGCTCCATCTCAGGTGAGACTCTTAAATCCAGCCAAGCATCACGAGGCAGGGCCAGAAGCTGACTTCCAGGAAAAGGTTACAGAGCTTAAAAAAAAAAACCGGGGGGATAACTGTTGGGAGACTGAGCCAATCACAGAAAACCTTTTAATGTGTCTTAGTCATCCCTGCTCTCAGCCAGGATTCCTGGGAAGGCAGGCTGTCCTAGATAGATGTTGCTTTTTCTATTAACCCGTCAGTGATGGGGGCTGCAGGCTGCGGCCTGGCTCACCCCCAGGGCCCAGCAAGCCGCGGCATGTCAATGGAAATGAAACACTCTTCACCGGCTGGGTGTGTGGCACTTGCTTCCTGCCTGCCTTTACTGACAACACTGAGACCCATGGACCACCCCCAGCAGGCAGACAGGGGCTGGCATGGGTCCTAGAGAGGTTGTGCTCTAGGCGAGGCTGAACTGGAAGGCTCTGACATCTGAAAGATGAGCAATCATGACCTGGGATGCTGGGTGGGAGCGGAAGTAGGGGTAGCCATCATCCAATCCTGTAAGTCCCTTCGCCTAGGGCTGCTTTCGCAGGCAGAGCTGCCACTTGGAGGCAGGACCTCCTACCGTCTCCCTCCGTGAGGATACGAGAAGTTGGAGAGCTAGTTCCCTTCACGGCCCACTCCCCTCCCCCAGTTCTCCTGAGGCTCGAAGCGGCGCCTTCTGACCTGGGGTTGGTGACTGGTGCGAGGGAAAGCTGACTGATGGGACAGAAAGGGCACGGGTTCATCTCCCGGCTCTGCAACCTTTTGAGCGAAATCTTTACTTTCAGTTCCCATTCTTCAAAGGAAGTGACAAATACCCACTTCTTAGAGCTGTGATGAAGACTCAATGAGATAAAAATGTAACAATGGCAGCTCAGTCTGTTTTTTTTCTCTTCTTCCCTCACCGGCCCTCCCTCCGTACAAATACGGCAGCACTGAACTGTGTGCGATTTCATTCTCCTTGCCTCACAGAGGATTCCAGTCTACGACAGTGCCAAGACCGAGAAACGGGGACACAGACTGTCACCTGCGGATTAAACATGTTAATTCCAAAGATGTCCTCCCTAGATTTCTGTCCGCTGGTTATTTAATCGAACAGGAGTTGAGGTACTGCTGTGACGAGGCCTTGGAGCTGCACTTAAGGCGATGGACTGTGAGATAGACGATCACCCTGGATTACCTGGTGGGCACACTCTAATCACCTGAGCCCTTAAAAGCAGAAATTCTTGCCTTGACCGGGGGCTCAGTTGTTTGGAGCATCATCCCATACACCAAAATGTTGTGGGTTCGATCCCCGTGCAGGGCACATACCTGGGTTGCAAATTCAATCCCCAGTTGGGGCATGTATGGGAGGCAAGCGATCGATGTTTCTCATTCCCTTCCTCTGCCTCTAAAAATCAATAAACATATCCTCGGGGGAGGATTAAAAATAAATAACAGAAAACAGAAACTCTCTGGTAGGAGTTGAGACAGAAGAGAAAGTCAGCGAGTCCAAACGTGAGAAAGACTGGACCAGCCCTTGCTGGTTTTGGAGGAGGCGGCAGGGGGTCAGAGCCTGGGGGTGTGGGCGGCCCCCAGGAGCTAAGGACGACTCGGGACAACACTCCGCAGAGAAACCGAGACCCTGCGACCGCAAGGAGCAATGTGGCCAACACCACGAAACTGGGAAGTGGACTCATCCCCCAGAGCCACCGGAAAGGAACACAACCTTGCCAGCACCTTCTTTTTGGCCTTGTGAAACCCGAAACAAAGGAACCAGCGGAGCCAACTTGGACTTCGTACCTACAGAGCTGAGATAATAAATAAATGGGCATTGTTTTAACCGCTCTATTTGTGACACTTTGTTGCAGCAGTTAATAGAAGCTGTAATACGATAGGCTGTAAAGACCCTTAATAACCCTGGGAGGGAGGGGGGAGGCACTATCGCAAACCCTGCTGCATGAACCAGACTACGGCGCAGTGAAAAGGCTCTGAGAAGTGAGTGCGCAGGCGCGAGCATGAAGAATGGTCGTGCGCGGTGGGAGCGTGTGCGCCAAGTTTATTTGCAGGTGAACAGGACAACATTTACACAAAACACACGGCGTGCAGAGAGGCCGGCACTGCCCTCATACACCGGGGGCCGAGGAAGACCTAGTCCTCCCAGCAGCCATAAACAGTCCCGGGTAATGAGTTTATGAAAAACACTTTCTCTTCCTTCAGCAAACAAAATTATTTATGAAGCCATACATTCAGCAAGAGGGAGCAAAAGGGAAAAAAAATTACCTCAAGGAACGCAATAGCTCCTTTCCTGGTGGGATCCGTCATTTTACAGACATGAAATATTCATATCAGAGACCTTATATTTCAAGAGGAATGGGTTACATATCAGAGCCACAGGAGCAAATATTTTTTTTATTATTACCAACAGGGAATTAGGAGATTCTCTTTGGACACCAGTTCTTGCCCAGACTTTTGGAGATCAGGGTCAGTGTGACCGCCCTCTCTAATTAACCCTCAAATTTCACATTTCTAGCCACTCCCTGCCTCTGAATTCCCCGCCAATGCTCCACTTCAGCCTTCGAGAGCTGCCCACGGACTGTTAAGTCTCACCACAGGTCCCTAAGCACTCACCTTCCACGAAAGGGTTTGACTCTTGGCCTTTATGAACACAGGGTTTTAGGGAAACAAATTCAGGGAAACCATCTACTCTGAGCCCAGCTACTCTGCCCCCAGCTCTAAGCCAACGGCCCCAGTACAAGGACTGGGGCTGATAAATAATGAATCAGCATCTTGCTCAATTGGTGGCATTTAAAATTCTTTTCAGGTGAAAAATTACCACAATTTTGTGCTCATGGCAGATTTCAAAGGGAGACGTGAAGCAGAAAATCTTTAAGGGCCCTGGCACAGCCAGAAGTCCTCTTCAGGCTGGAGTACATCAAATATTTAGTAACCAGGACTGTGGAAGGACTAAAGAGGACGTCCCAGGGCCTGGAAAAAGGCCACTTCTTAGGCTTATCCTCGGGGTCTGGTGGAGACAGGCTCTGTATACAAGACACACGGGGCTGGCAGCCATCAGCAGCCGCTCTGGGAGGGCTGGGGGACCAGGTAGGCGTCCAGCTCCTGGCACTGGTAGAGGGCCACGCTGTCCAGTACCCACTCTCGGGTCACCACAGGCACCTCACACATCTGCCCAATCACTGAGGACAGAGAACACAGGCAAAGATTAGTGTCAATTCACGTTCTACCCGACCAGAGTCTAGTCAGTCCCGCCTGGGGACCTGCTTGTATGGGATCTAGTTCCTGAGGTGGGAGCCCGGGTGTGGATTTTAAGCGATGCTTCAGGACCTAGGACCTCACTCAGGAGCCTGAGGAGTGCCTGCTGGCGAAAGCTTACGGCTTCTGACAACTTTATGAACACCCGCTCCGCTCTGTTACAGGAGAAGTCATCGGAGAGAGCAAAAGAATATGGACATCTGACAATGGGGAAAACATATTTGCAACATCTTAACCTCCCCCAATGGAAATAGTTCATGCATGACTTTCATAATGCAAAATAAACCAACAAAAAAAGTTTAAAAAGACATTTTAGCCATTCACTCATTCATTCATTCACCCCACAAATATTTGCTGAGTACCTCAGATGTGGTGAGAACTGTGCCCAGTAAGCACCAGGTGACCTGTGGTGACACAGGACTCCATGTGACACAGACACGTGCTTGCGGCCTTCTGAAGCCCCACACGGGTGCACCACCCGCTCCAGCTGACCTGAGCGGGACGCCCAGGCCTAGAACCACACAGCGATCTGTACACTCACCCAGTCTCTCTAGCCTGCACTCCTCTTGATGAAGGTTTTACGGCAGGACTTACCGTGGGAGCCACTGTCCTCCGCCCAGGCGTCCGGCTGCATGACCACAACCCGGTGAGTGCCCTGCGTCCCCAGGGAGGAAATGACATTGAGGATATCAGAACAGGACTTGGAGAACAGTCGCTTCGCCACTCCTTGGCGGTGGGCCGAAGCAGGCTACTCTGGGGCGACCACACAGAGGAAGGGGAAGGGCACACGGCAAAAAGGGCTGGAGGTGAAGAGCCTTCGCTCCGTGTATTAAATGAACACTTCTAGCTCCCAGGTCCTGGCTCGCCCCTTACAGATGGAGACTGCTGGCACAGACGCGTGGTCAGACAAGGCTTGCAGTGAAGGGAAGCTTCTCGGGCTACACGGGGGTGTGAAGGGTTGGTCACAGGGACCCACGGGGGCCACCTCGCTCAGTCACCAGGCAGGGTACCGTGCCCTCCCCCTCCGCCGGGACACCCGGCGCTTACCTCGCCCACAGTGAACGCCGAAGGGTCCTTCACCACGGCAGCCCCGCAAAGCCGCACCATCCACTCTAGCTGATCTGAAGAGGCGTTTAGACAGAAGATCACCACGGTCATCTACACGTTTAGCCCGGGCTCCGCACCCCTCACTCCTCTGAGTGGAGACTGACAGCAGGACTTCTCAGCGGGAGTCCCTGTCTCTCTGCCCCTGTCTCTCTGCCCCAGAGGGACGGAAGGCTTTCAAGTAGAGGCGTATGGATTCCAAGTTAATTTGTCACTGAAATGCTACCTATTCTGGTTATCGGTCCCCATAAGGCCACTTGGTGGATAAGGTTTAACAGTCTCTCAAACAAAATACAAGAAAAGATCTAATTCCCATTAATTTGCTAAACTGCTGGCTGAGATACTGTGAAAACAACACCCACTGTCCTCCCTCCCTCCCTGCCGAATTCTGCGCTGGTAACTGATAATCACAGCCACCGAGCACACCACACTCGGTGGTAATGGCTGTACACGTCAAGAGATGGGAAAACGGTCCCTTAAAAAGAAGAAAGAAAAAGAAAACCCCTGTCATCCCGGACAGAGACGCAGCGTGCCAGCTGGAAAGGCTCCCTGGAGAGCTGGTTTACCAACATTGGGGGGCAGAAACCACGAGAGACAGCCCCTGGGTTTTATTGGGACCTGGAAAATGGGGAGACCTGACCAACGGGTGGCTTCTGGACCTCTCTGGGCGCTCTTTTCTATCAACCTATTTCTGGAGACTGCTAAGGTGCTCCTCTTTGAATGCATCGAGGTCAACTGACTCACCTCCAAAATGATACCCATGGGAGGCGCTGGTTTTCATTACACCAAAGCACAAACACACTGAGAAATCTATGTGTGGCATGTGGAAATTTCATAAAAACTCAATCAATAACCAATAAAGAAGACATAGGCAAAATTACTTTGCCAGGCTCCCCCGCTGCCAGCCAGCCATCCCCGACCAGACAGCAAGGCCCTGTTCTGCGAGTTAGATGGCTGGGCCCCTGGGGCGGAAGCGGGCACCAAGGTAGAGGCGGCCGGCCTTCGGTTTGAAAATAAGGAACCAGACCCGCGCATGCACCAGGGCCTCGGTGCCACGCCAGAGCATCGCATCCAGGGTCGGATGTCATGAGAAGACGTTCATCCAGTCCTTCCCCGCTCCGGGCCTGTGCGGGGAGCCCAGGTTCCCAGGGCTGCGCTTTCCTCACTGTCAAATGCAGGTGGTTCAGGAAGAACAGGACTCTCTCCCTAACTTAGGTCTCCCCCTTTCTTACACCAAAGAGCGGGTGAGAGTGGCTCTACCCCATCTGAACACCGAGCACACTGTGCCCTAGATATCAATTCTTCACTGCCTTCTAGCTCCTGAGAAGGGGAGCAGGGCTAGTTTTTTTTTTTTTTTTTTTTAATACGGTAACATTTAGGTGCAGTTCTGTCTGACAGGTGATAGAGAAACAGGCTAACCTCTCACCAGCCTGAGGCACCCCCATAAGATGACCCCTCCTATAACAGCCCACCGCGTAAGGAAAAGGCTGGTGCTGGACCCTGCAGCTCTCCCGGCCTCTTACCTGTGGGCATGTTGGTAAAGGGCCCGTAGCAACAGATTTCCAGGCCCCTGAAGATCTGGGAGAGGAGGGGAACAGAGGGATAGAGAAAACAAACAAACAAACAAAAAACACTAGTTACAAGAGTATGAGTTTTATAAAAAACAATGTAAAGAGACTTTCAGAAAGGAAGGACCTTTTTTTTTCTGTTTGCCATCTGACAGTTCCTACTGCTACTTCCCAGAGAGCATCAGTGCAATGCCCGGAGCGCCGGTGCGGTTCAGCGGACGCTTCTGAAGCGTGCAGGCAGCTGACCTACTCTACGGCGGCACTTTGCCACTCAAGGGCCGAGCCTCCACCTTGCCACCAGTCAGGCCCAGGCTCCTCCCTGGTGACCTTTTCCAGGTGACTCCGCTTCTTGTTAGAGATGAGAGGGGGCAAAAAAGGTCCTTATTTTGTTTAATGCAAGAAACCCAGCTTTTAGCTGACGTTTGATGTTTATGCAGACTTGGTGTATCCGTACTAACCAACCATGACCCTAACCGGCAGAGGGCCTGCGTTTCTTGTCGATGTACATCCTCCCTTTCTCCTGGTCTCAGAGCACCTGCTGCTGCCTTCACGATGCTCTGAGAACGCCCCCTGTTCCTTCGGCAACAATGAAGTGGAGCCTGGTCCCGCCTCTCCTCACTCAGCTGACCGACCGCCTGGTTTCCGGGAGACACGGATCACACCGCACCTCCCAGGGGCCTCTTCCACTCACAGTGCAGGCAGAAGGACTTTCTCTGATGATGGAAATGTTCTACATTTCTGTTAATAAGGCAGCTATGAGTCACATGCAGCTATCGAGCACCTAAAATGTGGCTGAGATGAGTGAGAAACTAAGCTTCATATTTTACTTTAGTTACAATTTGAACAGCTCATGGAGCTGGTGGCCCACTGTGCTGGACAGACGCACGCTTACCCACGCAGCGGTGCCGGTTCTTAGGGAAGGACTGGGGCATCCCGTCAAAGAAGAAACCTGAATCCGTGCCAGTTGGCTGCACATATATCATTTTAGTAATCCTCATTTCCTTCACCCTCTTTCCTTCTCCCCATTCCACTAGAGAGAAAATTGCTTAGGCCTGGAACTCGCCTCGCTTCAAATACAAGACTGGGATAAAGAAAAAAATCAGGAAGCCAAAAGCATGTGACTACCTTTTAGGAAATATTCCCCCAGCCCCCATTCTAATGACAGCCAGAGGACAGAGGCATGAGAAAGGATTGCAAAACAGATCCGTTTCTGTTTTAAGTGACAGCCCCCGCCCGTGCCATTCTCACTGTATGGAGAGCGTGAACCCCCGACCCGTTAACAGGACCCAGATGCTCATAATGCTAAACGTTTCCCCTGGGCAGCCTGCTGGAGCCCAATGTTACGGTAAAAAGTACAAAAGATTAGAATTCTTTTCCATCCGGGCTGATGGAAAAAAATTGAGGAGTACGTCTAGTTATGAGAAATTTGAACTTTCACTTCTACAGACACACTTCTTTCCCACGGGAAGATACTACGGTGATATCTTGTATCCTCACCATGTCGTGACTTTGACCGGTCCTTTCCATCATCACCACCCCAAATGCAGGGAAACCCCCGAACACTGAGATCTCCTTCAAAGGAGGGGAAATCTGGGGCTAACCCTAACCCCCACACACAGTGGAACAGAAACAAATGGCTGCTCGCAGAGCTGCCCTGGGTGCAGGCGGAAGTGGGCCCAGCAGCTTTTTCTGGCACGTGGCAGTGCCTGGATAGGCTCAACAGCGGAGAGCAGGCTGCCCCCAAGGACTCCGAGTTCCAGGGCTTGATCTGTGATCATCTCCCAGAGCAGTTTTCCTGGAAAACCACCTCTACTGGTTCTCGCTCCGGTTCTGTAAAGGGACAGAGGGTGCTCTGTGCAGGGATGCTCTGAAATGCCTGGTGGTGCACTGGGAACGGGAAGACACGCAGACTGGGAACACGCATGCTCTGCCAGGGCCTGCGAAAGGGACCTGCGAAAGCTACCGGCTCAGGCCCGACAGGCAGGTGTGAAATCTTGCCTGGATTTCTCCCTGAGAGGAGGACATAAGTTTGGCCACATCATTCACTACAGGATGATTTGGGGAATATCACCTGAGTGTTCCTGGGCCTCTGGTCCTTCATTTTCAAAGATGTTAGGTGAATCTATTTTCCTCCTTGGTGAAACTTTCTATAATTTTATAGGAAACTATAATATCATCATTAAGAGCTCAGACACTGAAGCTAGATGGCCTGGGTTCAACTCCCAGTTGTGAGTTCACGATTAGCTGTGTGAGCTCGAGCAACTTACTCCACCGCCCTGAGCCTCAATTTTCTCACTTAAAAAATAGGCATAATTATTGCACATGTCTCGGAGGTTTGCCGTAAAACTGTTGATCGGTTAAAATACAGCTGAGGTTTCGTACTGGCATACATTGAACATTATACAGATGTCAGCTACCGATGACCAATCACGCTCTCTTCTGGGCACCCACGGACAGCACTGGGGGCCTCCCCTCTACGGCACTCCCCACACTGCGTTAGAGAAGGGCGCTGGGGCGGGGGGAGGTGGGAAGAGCAAAGGTTTGGACTCCCTTCTGTTTCAAACCCCAGCTCTGCCACTTATCAGCTGAGATCTAAACCCCAAGACTGGACCAAATTACACTGCTTTTCTAAACCATTCATAAAATAGATATAATACTTATTTACCTTGTTGGCTAGAACTTAAAAAAAAAAACACCTATATGGAAGCACGTAGCAATGCATAATACCCCTTAAAAGATGAATGAAGGGGGCTAGAATGCATGGAGGAGGTGGGCTTTACCATTCTTTAAAAAAATTTTTTTTAAAGATTTTATTTATTTATTTTTAGAGAGGGGAAGGGAGAGAGGGAAACATCAATGTGTGGTTGCCTCTCCAGCACCCCTACTGGGGACCTGGCCTGTAACCCAGGTGTGTGCCCTGACTGGGAATCGAACAGGCGACCCTTTGGTTTGCAGGCTGGCACTCAGTCCACTGAGCTACTCCAGCCAGGGCGACTTTACCTTTCTGTCCTGGGATTCTCTTGCTCGCTTTGGACCTTGGTGGTTCCTTCCATTGATAACGTCTCCTCTGACTTCAAAATCTTGCTGAAAGAAACCAAACCCAAACCACAGGGATCAAAGAGAAGTCTTCTTCAATGGGGGCAGAGTAGATGTGTCGTATATAAGGAGCTGAGCACCGCCGGACCATATTTCGACTGCCTCCCCTAAATCACAGGTTTTGGTAGACTGGATGAAACGGCCAGCATCTCAGATGCTGAAATCAATTCCCTGAAGCTAACCTTTGTGGGCAGAAATTAAAAACCGGTTTTCACCTTCCTGGGACGTACTGTATTTTAGTTTTCAACATCTACCTCCTCAAAACATCCCCTTAGCATTCAGATTAAACTGCTAACACTGTGCTGTTATAAAAATAACTGGAGAATTCCTGACCTCTTAAATCAATCGTGTATTAACATCTAAGGGCTTCTCAGATTTTCATTGATTTAGTTAATGAAACCAAAATGATAAAATACATTCGATACATGTAATACACTGAAGAAAAAGGTTTTTCCTAATCACTATTTTGACTGACCAAGGATGAGAATAATGGGATTGGGGAGGTCAAGGCTTTGGGGAGAAATCTGGGGGAGAATGCTCACAAGCAATCCCGACCGCAACCCAGGGTGTAGGGGAAGACCACGTCTGCTGCCAAGAGCTTTACAAAATGAAGTCATGCCAGCGGAACCACAGGCTGACAGCAGGGGGGAGACTAGGTAACGCTCCCTAGTCACTTCAGAGAGGAGACAGAAGATAAATATGTCATCTTTTTGGAGACGACGTTCAAATTTATAGGCTTGATTGTGCCCCTGTCCCTACTTCACCTCTGCCTAGATGTCTAATATAAATTCCCAAATTTACGCACCTAAATGGAGCGTTTTTTAAAAATTGGTTTATTATTTTTTTAAAAAAGATTTTATTTAGTAATTTTCAGAGAGGGGAAGGGAGGGAGAAAGAGAGGGAGAGAAACATCAATGTGTGGTTGCTTCTCGCGTGCCCCACACTGGGGACAGGACCCACAACCCAGGCATGTGCCCTAATGGGCAATCGAATTGGCGACCCTTTGGTTCACAGGTCAGTGCTCAATCCACTGAGCCGCACCAGCCAGGGCTGAAAATTGGTTTTATTATTGATGTAATTTGAAATGGAGCTCTTGATTCTAACTCCCTCTCACTATTAATACTACTAATATCCACGCCACGGTTCACCCTCTCGATTCCTTCCCTTTACCTCATCTCCTAAATTTCACCCTTTCATCAGTCCCGTCTCCAAACGTATCTCAAACCAACCTCCTCCCACCACCTCCATGTCTCTGATTACCCTACACGGAAAATTCAGATTCCTTACCTTGATTTACCCCAAATCCCACCTGATCTGGCCCTTGTCTCTAACCTTCTCCAATTCTGTCTGACCTCTGTCCCTACATGTCACTCACCAGTCACTGCCTTCCAGCTACAACAGTCTGTTTTTCCTTAACGGTCAAACTCGTTCCTACTTCACGACCTCTATGCTTGCCGTTCCCCTGCCCACGCTGTGCTGCCTACGTTTTTCAAGGCCAGTTCCTAGTCTTGTGTCGCAGGTACAGCTGAAGCATTTCAGAAGCCATCCCTGGCTCTCCTCAACTCAAGGAGTCATTATCCGCCTCCAGTCAGTTCCTAACCTATTTATAGTATTTACTGATATTTTTTTTTCTTTTAATCATTGTTCAAGTACAGCTTTCTCCCTTTTACTCCCATTCCAGCCCTCCCACCAAACCCTCCCCACTTCCCTCCCATTACCACCCTCTCCCTAGTTTTTGTCCATGTGTCCTTTAAATTTGTAAACCCTACCCATTCTCCCCTGAAATTTCCTCATCTCTCCCCTCTGGTCACTGTCAGCCTGTCCTCTATTTCAGTGTCTTTGGTTATATTTTGCTTGTTTCTTTGTTTTGTTGTTTAGGTTCCTGTTAAAGGTGAGATCATATGGTATTTGTCTTTCACTGCCTGGCTTGTTTCGCTTAGCATAATGCTTTCCAGCTCCATCCACGCTGTTGCAAAGGGTAGGAGCTCCTTTCTCTCTGCTGCATAGAATTCCATTGTGTAAATGTACCATAGTTTTTTGATCCATTCATTTACTAGTGGGCATCTAGGTTGCTTTCAGCACTTAACTATTGTAAATTGTGCTGCTATGAACACTGGGGTGCAAAGGTTCTTTTGGATTGGTGTTTCAGGGTTCTTAGGACAGAGTCCCAGCAGTGGAATTGCTGGGTCAAAAGGCAGATCCACTTTTAGTTTTCTGAGGAAATTCCATACTGCTTTCCATAGTGGCTGTACTAGTCTGCAGTCCCACTAACAGTGCACTAGGGTCCCCTTTTCTCCACATCCTCTCCAACACTTGTTTGTTGCTTGTTTATGATGGCCATTCTGACCAGTGTGAAGTGGTATCTCACTGTGGTTTTAATTTGCATCTCTCTGATAACTAGTGATATTATTTGCTGATATCTTAAATGTTCTTTACACTGTGAGTTCTCCCTTGACAGAATGGCAATACGAGCAGACTCTGGACCCGTTGGTCACGTGTACTGCTGTGTTCCCGGTGCCCAGCACACAGTAGGCTCCCAGTGGTACAAGCCACTGAATGGAAGTTAAAACCAACAAAACCGTCACTTAATTAATTATGAACACACTGACTAGTACATAATAGTTTAAAACTTCTTGCTAGTTTTATTTTCCCCGTTCTGTTGTCACCGGCAGCTCTTCGATGGCTCTGTTCTAAAATTATTCCTCCTCCCACACTCATCTTGTTTACCTCTCCCTGTTCTGGGTCTCATACAGAGTAACATCTCTTTGCAGGAACCTGATTTCTAAACAAGTAGATTTGCATATCAATATGAAGGAATTTTCTTAACCTTTTTTTTGGGGGGGAGTGTGATTTTTAAATTTATTTTTAGAGGGACGACAAAGGAGGGAGAAAGAGAGGAGAAACATCTATTGGCTGCCCTTTGCAAGGCACCCAGACCAGGGACTGAACCTGCAACCCAGGCATGTGCCCTGACTGGGACTCGAACTGGCGACCTTTCACTTTGTGGGACGATGCCCAACCAACTGAGCTGCAGCGGTCAGGGCTGCTCTGCATAACTGGATGATTCCCACCATCAAGGGAAATCAATCTGTGGCAAGTTGTGCAAGGACGGAAGCAGCTAAACTGTCAGTGTGTGCCATTTTCAATGGCACCAAGTCTTTCTGATTCATTTGTAACACCAAGTACCTACCTCATCTAGAATCTTTCTTTCTTTAACAGACTGGGTCACCCCTAAAGAGATCACAGAAAAGACAAGTCACAATGCAGAAGAACATGCTCTTTTCATGGAGGTGCACAGCGAAGCGATTCACAGGAGAGCCCGGGAGGAATAACACTGAGCAGACGCCCCCTCCGCATAAAGCCACAGCTCTTTAATAAGACTTGTAGCAGAGATTTCCTCCTGGAGACACAGCTGATGCTTAATCCAAACATTATAACAGTGCCTGATGCAGGCAAATTTCTGCCTATTATTAAATAAATCCCTCCTTCCTATGTTAACCCTGTCGTTGCTAGGAGCAGATTAGGCCCCATTAGTTATAAAAAGAAATCCATTTTCCCAACGTTACCAGCTTATCTGAGCAAAGAGATATGTGTAAAGATAAAGCTAGGCTAGTGTTATCTAGTGTTATCGTTAAAGACCTTTTGGTAATTCAGATTCAGCATCAGCAAAAAAAAAAAACCCCTTCGGTGTTAAAATGTTAGGTGTAAAAATGCAATTCTGAGATGTTAAAGGGAGGAGGGCAGAGGTACACTGTACTTACAGAAATAGCTAACTACCCATTTTCCTCCTGCAATTCCCAGGAAATATTTCAGTGTCCGTTCACATACGAACTCAGCATCTGCAGAATGAAAGATACCCAAAGGGTTAGTAGAAGTTGGAAACAAAGTCAGGAAGTGCTGCTCTAACAGGCTAAAGAGCTCCAGCTCCCTATACGACTTGCAATCCACCTGGATCGATGATTCCAATACCCTGGTGATAGAATCAGAGGCTGGAAGCACCTCTCGTTATAGCCAGCACGTGTGGATCTTTGGAAGCTGGAGAAGACGGACATGAAATTAAAACCAGAGAAAATGTCTGCCCTGTCTTCTGGATGCCAAGACTAGCTAGAGACATCCATTACTGCGTATCCACACTGTAAGTACTGATACACGCGGCTGGGGAAGATCTATTTTACTGGATGGCAAAACGTCAAAGGAGAAGAAAAGAGTCTTGTTGAAATCCTATATCTGAAATATCAATGTAAGTGACAAATTTTCACTCCCGGACTTCTACCCGGGGAACCCTAATCCCCTAGTTCCCCTGAGAGGGACGGGAAAATACAGAGTATTTTCATGGCTTTTCTCCTTTCAACCTAAGTATTTCAGAAAGTAGTAGCTGAAGAATCACTTATTTCCTAGTGTTTCAAAAACTCCTTTGAAGAATAAATAAGCAAACCGAGGAAAGAAGAAATCTATTTAACCAAATCCTAAACACAGCAGCCCGTCTGCCAGTAGTAGCAACAGCCATTGTTCCTCACAGAATTCCTCACCAATTATTAAAATCTTATTTTTTTATCACAGCTTTAGAGCTTTTTGTTTAACTGCTGCAGAAGTTGATCTATAAAAAAGAGTTTATTTATTTATTTTTAGACAGAGGGGAGGGAGAAAGAGAAGGAGAGAAACATCGATGTGAGAGATACAGTGATCAGCTGCCTCTCATGTGCCCCCCACTGCACTGGGGACCGGGCCTGCAACCCAGGCATGTGCCCTGACTAGGAATCGAACCTGTGACCTTTCTGTTCATAGGCTGATGCTCAATCCACTGATTGCCATAGCCAAGGCAAAAGTTGATTAATAATATGCTTTAAACTCACAAATTTTAGCTCATTTCTAGTTCAGAAGTTATACTGCTTTTGGGTTTAAAGATTAATTACCTCAGATTTAATTTACATTTTAAAGTTTCCTTTTCACCTTCCAGCAGCTTTGATGCAAACCTATAGCTTAAGATACTTTAAATTTTAATGACATTCATCTCTAAAATAGCACTTGGTTCAAAGTACCTTGTTCTGGCATTCGGTTCCTATATTACCCTCTGGCCCTGTGGTGTGACCTATACACACAGTAGAAACCAAACACCTTAGAGGTTCTAAGGCGATGTGTCCCTGGCAAGGAGTCTGGACCCTCTACTCAAGGACCTGCAGCCATGTGAACAGAGCCGACCACCGTGTTTCCCGAGAGCCAATTTGGCCAGAAAGCTTTTGAGAGCTGTATCTCCTGCGTGCTGCACACACTGGTTTTTGCGTCCTGGAGCCCATGAACAAGTCTACCTCCTCTCCCAGATAGCGAACAACTCTTCAAATATTTGAAGACAGTGGTCTTGTTCCCTTAAGACTTCTCATTCCTCCATCTGCTCTTCAGATAACATTGTTCTGAATTCTCTCTTCCCATCCTCACCACCCACCTCTGGAAAAACACTCTAACGGTTGGTGACCAGCTTAAAAGGAAGGCACGGAGCTCAAAACAGAGCACATATACCTTCCGGGCAGCCGCTCCAGCAGAGAACGCAGGAGCGGGGTCAGGACTTTTACTCCAGTTGTTCCAGACAGGAGGCCTGCATCAGTGAGGCCCGAGTGCAAACAAGCTTTTCAGCAGCCCTGAAATGTTTACTCAGGTTTAGCGCACAGTCAACCAAAAGGTGCCCGTGATCACGGGAGTCCTAATTAAGGTTTTAAAAGGGGAAGGTGTAGGACAAAGGAATTTTTTCCCGTTTCTCCTTTTTCACATGCTAGGCTACCCAGAGCTGACATCGGACCCATTTCCTGAAAAACTCCAACTAGTGTTTGCGTGAAGCCAGGACACGGGTCGACAGGGGCTGGGATTCCAAGCGCCCAGATTTTGAATCAAGACTCGCTTGTGTCCCGTTCTCCCCTCTGCCCCGCCTGTCCCTCTGGGACCGGAGCTCTGCCTCACCAGAAGGCCCACCCCACAGGGTGGTCCTGGCAGGGCGGACTAATGGAAGTGGTCCATCACTCTGGCTCACTGCTCTCTACCTCTTTTTTAAAGAATTTATTTATTGTTTTCCTTGTCTGAGGACATGCTTATTGATTTTAGAAAAAGGGAAAGGGAACAAGAGAAACATCGACATTAAAGAGAAACATGGATCGGCTGCCCCTTGTATCACACCCCAGCTGGGGACTGAACCTGCAGCCTAGGTGTGTTCCCCACTCGGGAACCAAACCCCGCCACCTCTCGGTTTTCGGGATGGTGCTCTAACGAAGGGAGCCGCACTGGCCAGGGTGACCCCTCTGAAACCTTAATGCAATGCAAAAGGGGGTCAGGAAATGGCAAAGCTGTAATTTTTCTTTCACAAAATAACAATCGATGGACTAATGGAGGACCTTTGCCCATGCTACACCTAACAGATGCTCCTCTTTCTTCATGGAGTTCTATGCGACTGGCGCGATGCGCGCCACCGAGGTCCTTGGTGTACCTGTTTTCATGACGACGTGAGTGGTCTCTTCAGTAATTAGATCAGTCACAGCGATGTGGTGCTTTCTGGCGAACTTGTGCACAAGCATCTGAAATCAAATAAAAGATTACACGATTATCAATCACCTCTAGTGCACGGCTTAGTGCATTCGTTATCCTCGCTTTGAATCTCCATTTTTTCCCTCAGAAAAGGTACATTCTTTTTATTCGAACATGTCTGGAGTCTCAGGGTAAATAGCAATTTAATGCAAATTATATATAAATCAGAGGAAGAAATTCTACAGTAGTTCATGCTAGCAGACATGAACTATATAACCAAGCATTCAAAATAATGTTAATACTCCCTTTCACAGCAGATATCATTGGGCTCCCTCGCAGAACGATACTCTGCAATACTATAATTTAGATTTATCAGCTTACACTATATAAGTGGAGAGGCAACTAGCCCACACAGAAAGTTATTCTACAGATATGTGACTTAAAAACAAGATATAATCCTCTGACAGTTATAAGACATTCAAGTCAAGAGTGCAAAAACTATCAATTCTTCTTACGGAGAACTGGAAGAGACTTATATTATTCCAAAGAGAAATCTAGAGCCATCTAGCTATTATCTATCACCACTCCCCCACCCCCGCCCCAAAAAGGCAGATAAAGAAATGAACCAGATCCATTACGGACACAGCTGACATAATTAGTAGCTCCTGTTTGGTAAACAACCGTGTTTACCAAGGCCACCATTTATTAGCCATCGCCACCCGCGCCAGTATTTGCCCGCCGCACGTGCTGCCGCGGAGGTCAGGGCATCTCTCTTGCACGCCGCCTCACTCCACAGTGCCACCGGGCACCAGGAAGGCAGGCTAGAGAAGCTAATGGTATCCTCCCCCCCTTTGCCACCGCCCTCTGCCAGGATCATTAGCAATTCTGAACTGATTAATTGCTGAAATCCCAGCCTTGAAACAGTGTTCAGTTAGAAGAGCAACTGCTGAAAAGATCATCTTAATATGGGCTTCAGAATTAATCACGTGTAATACAGTCAGCAGCTTTCATAATAAATTTACCACACTTCAGCAAGTCTGAATGGAGCTGAAAAGTTTTCCTCTTTGCTTGTTTAAAGACAGTATGTACCCAAGCCACTTATAGTCTCATGTGAGGCTCAGAGTTGCCCATGGCAAGAGAGATGAGATCACTTTAGCCATTTCTGAGAAGCTGAACTCACGAAACGAGGAATGCGAATTTTCAATGAATAAAGGGGAAATCTAGATATGTAGGCAGATGATCAAGAGCAACGTAGACACAGGTATGAATGTGGAGAGCAAGTAGCTGGTCTGGGCACCTGCTTGTGAAATTAGAATTCTAGAATTGCTGATGAGAATTTATTCATTGTACCTTCCAGGGCAGACAAAGGTCACCTGGCCCTTTTAGTAGTGGGCCATGTCTGGCCGCAGAGAATGCGATGCTGAGCTGCTGCCCATACAGAACGTAGGACGAGAATGAGAAACAGTTCTTAACCCAGGAAGGATATAGCAAGAAAGTTACTAAGAATGACCGTCATCTCTCAGTGTGTAATAAATTACACCTACCACTGAATCAATTTGATACTCTAGTATGTTATCTTGTCATGGTTCTTTAAGATACATTCACTCAATTATTTTATTATGAACTGATACCAATGGTGATTAGTTACAGAGGAGGTAAGTTTCTTAAGATGTCTGAAATCTACACTCAGTCCAAACAGAAACAATGTTTCATTGGTCTTAATATTTTTTTTTTTTAAGATTTTATTTATTTATTTTTAGGGAGGGAAAGGGGGGGAGAGAGAGAGAGAGGGGGGGAGAGAGAGAGAGAGAGAGAGAGAGAGAGAGAGACAGAGAGAGAGAGAGACATCAATGTGCGGTTGCTGGGGGTTATGGCCTGCAACCCAGGAATGTACCCTGGCTGGGAATCGAACCTGGGACACTTTGGTTCCCAGCCTGCGCTCAATCCACTGAGCTACGCCAGCCAGGTGGTCTTAATATTTTAATGGGTATTTTCCCACAGTGTGAAACAAATTCCTGTTTCCCCCATGAAGGGACCAAAGAAATGTCAAAATCCTAATAGGAAAGAGGGGCTATTGTAGGGCAGAAATGATAGGGCAGGTTATGAAACAGCTGGGTCACAGGCCAGGACAAAGGCAAGTAAACACCGGAGAAATGTCATTAGCTGGTGGTGTGCTTGGAACCAGTTCGAATTCAGTTAAACATGCCGGTGCGTTCTCTCTGAGGTGAACCAAGGTGGGGAAAACATGCCTTCTGGGGAGCAGAGCTACACCTACTTGCTTTTTAAATTAGAAATAAAATGAAAACACTCCATATCATACCCAAAATTACAATCTTTCTAAATGTTTAATATTATTTCCTTAAGTAAATATATACAAAGTAACCTATGCTATCGTTTTATCTAGGTCCCAAATATCCGAAATTAGTCATGGAAATTAAATTACATAGAATTTTTCCTATTTCCTAGATTTCTTCCTGTAAGTTATTTATCGCTAGAACCTATTCAAAACTAACATTTACAGTACATTAATGCAGTGTCAGTCATCAGGGAAATGGACATGGATAAACTTACTAATTCTTTTTGGGTCAAGCCTGATGCCACCATTGATATTCTTCTGTTGACCGTTTTTGTTGACGATACCACTTCTGGCTTCTCCCCACTCCCACTTTCTTCCTTCACATTCCACCTAGCAGCACTGGTCGTTCGAGCAGTAGCTGGACTCTTGGCAGATTCTCCAACCTGGAACGGGGGTCCTGTCGATGCAGAGGCTGACGCCGGCACGCTGCAAACAGGAGCTGGCTCTGGGGCTCTGTCTTCATCGGGGTCCGACTCTGGGTCATCGAAGAGTCTGACTCCAGATTCTAGGGAAGGGGGGGTTCCCTCTAAAAGGAAGGGGGGAAGAAGTTTACTTTACATGACAATGAATCTTGAATTCCAAAGTCTAGTCTATGCTAAGAATTAAATAGATAGATCAAGCCCCAACTGCTGGTGTGGTTCAGTGGGTAGGGCCTCGATCCACAAACCGAAATGGTCACTGGTTCCCATCAGGGCACATGCCTGGGTTGCAGACCAGGTCCCATGTTACAGGTGTGCAAGAGGCAACCTATCGATGTTTCTCTCGCACATTGAAGTTTCTCTCCCTCTCTTCCCCTCTCTCTAAAAACAAATAAAATCTTAGGAATAAAAAAAGTAGATCAACTTAGGTAAAAAGAAAAATGGGCGTGCTAATATACTATTGGTGGAGGTGCAATGTGGCTTAACTTTTCTAAATGACTATTTGGCATTATATTCCACAAGTCTTGTGTGTTTACACTTCCAGTCAATAATTCAAGTTTTAGAAATGTATCCTAAGGGAATAAAAGATGCATGTACAAGTTTAGTCAGGGAAATGTCCACTGTAACGTTGTTCATAACAGTCAAGTTTTAGAAACAACCTGAATGTCCAATAATGGGTTGGCACAGCCATTCCGACGGAGCACTCTTCGTCCGTTACGATTAATTACAATAAAACAGCAAAATGCACACACCTACGTTCCCTGCAGCCCTGTTTACAACAGCCAAGAGTGGAAGCAACCCACATGTCTATCAATGGATGAAAGGATAAATAAAATGTGGTATATACATTCCATGGTTTTTAAAAAGCTAAACGAATAGCTTTATATAAAGAAGACAATCCGGTCACATGCTATAAACATGGATGAACCTTGAGGACATTATGCTAAGTGAAAGAAGTCCATCACAACAAGACAAATACTGTACTATTCCACTTATGTGGGGTATTTAAGTATATATGTATATATATAGATAAATATAGATAAATATTTATATAAATATAAACTAATATATAAAAATATATATATTTAACCCTTGCCCAAGTATACATGTATTGCTTTTATAGAGAGAGGAAAGGGAAAGGGGACAGAGAGAAACATTGACGTGAGAGAGAAACATCCCGGGACTAAACTCGAAACCTGACTGTGAGGATGTGCCCTGATTGGGAATCGAACCTGAGACCTTTCAGTGCACAGGCCGCTCTAACCACACCAGCCAGGGCCACTTACATGAGGTATTTAAAGTAGCCAAACTCTGGGCAACCAGCAGAAGGGTGGTTGCTGGGGGACAGGGTAGGGGGGTGGGGAGCTGCTGTGTGATGGGTATAGTTTCAGTTTTGCAAAACGAACAAATTCTAGAGAACAGCTGCACCACAGTGAGAATGCACTTAACAGCACTAAACACTTAAAAGTGGTTAAGATAATAAATTTTGTTAAGTATTTTTTACTGTAATTACAAGTTAAAAAAAAAAAAAGATGCCATTGATTTTGATAGAGTTAGGATTCTATTTTAGAGCCCCAACATGAAAAAAATTTGTAGCTTAGAATCCATGATATGCAATATTATAAGGTATGCTTTCTATAACCTTAGTCATTTATTTTATCTAGTTTAAATATTCCTTTTTTATTACCTATATTATCCAACTGTTTGGCAATTCACATATGGTACTTTATTTAGTGAGGGAAGGGAAAAATAAGAAATATTCAACTTTTGTTTTGTCATCCATGATGGTATCAATTACTTTTTTCTCTTAACATATCATCAGGTATCATTACCCAATTAAAAATAGAAGACCACCCCAGAAACATTGCAGAAAATTTCACTCCACCAGGAAATAAGCACAGCTAAGTACACTGTACGAGATTCCTAAAATGACCCCAATTAAAATGGCCAAATACTGCATTCGGATGACAAAGAGCACCTTTTATGAGAGTGTGCTTTTGAGGATTCATTTAAAATTTTCTTTAGTCATTCAAACTTTGATTTACAAGCCATAAAACACACCATTCATTTAAAGTGGTTTATAAGGCATAACATATATAGTCATTTATATTCATTTATTCAGGAAATAAGAACTTACTTTGGAGATTTGACTCATTTTTCAATCAAGGACAGACCTAAAACTCTATTCTAGGGCTCCAGAACTCTTATCTAACAGTTGAAATAAAATATTTAGAGGACCAGGACTCTCTCGTCTTCAGAAAGTTAAACCAATATAGACAAATTAACAACTGCAATAATTTTCAAGTGAACTTGGATTAACATTCAAGCTGTTTTTTAAAAATGGGTTTAAGTATACCAGATGCATTCATGATATACTAACACCTCTGAAAGATGATTAACCAGAATACCTTTAGGTAAGATTCAGAGTAAAATAAAAGTGTTTTCTCCAACAGAGCAGATGAGATATTACCGAGATCTTGTCTTGACAAATAAGACGGCTCCATGAAATCTTGGGGCCCAGCCTTGGTCCGTTGCTGCTCCTTCACGTCAATACCCTTAACGAGCTCCTTCTGAGATGGGCGGTTTCTGTTCTGAAGATTCTGTGAGTAGCTATGCATATCCCACTTATCATCTAGCAGCTGGGATTTACAAGGGGAAGACCTAGAAAGAATGAAACAAGAACACCATCACCATAGCCTCTGTCAAAAGACTTACACTTTTGGGGCAGCCAAAGCATAAGAGAAACAGCTCATTGTCAGAGGGATACCCAAGCAACTGCCAAAAGTCTGGATTCATGATCCCCAACCTGTCGGGGGTGACAAAGAACACCTCCCCTTAGGATCTCATCTGAGGCAGTAAGTACATTTCCTAGTTGTTTACAAGTAGGTCAGTAAATTTCAGCAAATTAGCTACAGCCACTTCCTCAAATTCATGAGTCCCCATGGATGTGTTAGAATCAGATCTCTCATGAAAGTAGAAAGTTGATTAACTTTGACATCGTTACACTCATTCTTTGTACCCAATTTCAGCACAACTCTAGACTCATCCCCATCTCTTGCCTTTTCAACGGCAAGTCACTCTAAAAACAAGTCAGTCATAAACTATTGTTAGAAGAGTTTATGCACACAGTAATTCCTTTACTCTTTCAGAGTTTAGGACTTTGCTGAATAAAATATTTAACAGATTTATTTTTTAAAAAGATTTTATACTGGCACGTGGCCCACAACCCAGGTACACGCCCTGACCAGGAATCAAACTGGCAACCCTTCGGTTTGCAGGAGGACACCCAACCCACTGAGCCACACCCGTCAGGGTGATATTTAACAGATTTACGGGACCCCAGAGACCAGCCACTTAATTGAATTAAATATTGGGTGTTTACCGTGAGTCAGGCACTAAAACTAAGCCCTGTGGATAAAAGATGAGCAAGACCTAAACTGCGGACCTCAAGTAGTCTAGTGGGAGGAAGTTCAATCAAATGTGTAGGTTCGTTAACAGAAATCTCTTAGGGGAAGGGGGAGGAAGAGCAGAAATATTTGTTCTAAAATTCAATGGGCGGTTAGCTCAACTAGTTAAAGCGTGACAATGAAGTCATCACCTCTAAACGTGGGTTTAATTGCACCTGGACACGAACAATGGTGTGGGGGTTGCCTGAGGGAGCGGAGAGTGCTGGCTGGAGAGGGACAAAGGGGAAAATACTGGGACAAATATAATAGCATAATCAACAAAATATAATAAAAAATACATTTTTAACAATAAAAATAAGTAAATAAACATGGGTGTAGTACCTATGGAAGACAACCTTTTAATTCTGTCTGACACAGGGCCAGGGCCCCAGCCTCAAAAACATGTCCTTGGCCGATCCAAGAGGTTTGGAAAAGATGGCGTGATTAGATTTTTGACAACTTTGCCACGATTATCAGAAAGATAAATACACACACGGTAGGAACTCAAATATGAATTCCTTTTCCTTCCTGGAGCAGTGGACTCTAATGGCTCTGAGACTCTTCCTGAACTATCCAATAGGAATAATAAATAGCCCAGAACTTATCCTTTTACCTTCACGATGCTGTTGTAAAGATCCAATGAGAAAGTAGGTAAAGTATTTTTGAAAAAATATATAAAGTACTATGCAGTCTAATCTCAACAGTGATTTGAATAGACACCCTGAAAGATACTGTGAAGAGTTCCCGGAATAAATCAATACATTAAGGCCCAAACCTTTCCTTTAATTAGGGCGAGGGCTGCCTTGCAGAACTCTACCATCAGCCTCCAGGCTTGTTTACGTTTTAGTTCTGCAAGGACTTCTGACCTCCAGAAGGAACAAATGCATCATACATTTCTCACGGTGTAGCTCAAGCCTTATGTAGATCCAAAAAGCCCGTATGTGATTGTGCAAAAAATCAGCCTAGCCCTGGCTGGCGTGGCTTAGTGGATTAAGCACTGGCCTACAAACCAAAGGGTCACTGGTTCAATTCCTGGTCAGGGCACAGGCCTGGGTAGTGGGCCAGGTCCTAGGTTGGGGGTGTACAGGAGGCAACCAGTCGACGTGTCTCTCACACACACTGATGTTTCTCTCCCTCTCGTTCTCCCTCCCTTCCCGTGTCTCTGAAAATAAATAAATAAAATCTTAAAAAACAAAAACAAAACCAAAAAACTAGAGATAGTAGTATGGTGAAAAATATTTAACAATAAGAGTTCAAGATAAGTAGATGTTGCTTAGATACCACAATCTGACGTTTACCACTTCTTACCTTTCCACTCCTGTTTCTTTGTATTTGCTGGTGGAGCTACCCAGATACTCTTGAACCTTGTCTGCAGAAAGGCTTTCCGGATTGCGACTTACAGGATATTCGCTACTTTTCTCTGACGTTAATACTGTTTTAAAAGAAATGAGAAAACAAAGAAATTTCCTGCTTTATTCCGATGGCGATAATTCAGGTGAGCATATCAGTTTTTTTCAAAAGCAGCAACCCATGACAATCGAATTGGCTTTCATGCAAGTATATCAGACCGAATTTCATAAACACAAGTGACCAGCATGGAACTAAATGGAACTAAAAAATAAATAAAAAGAGCACTTGAAGACTGGGTAAAACAAGGACACCTGAGTCAAGGCTGAAAAAAAAACCCCCACAGATTTATAATTTTTTGGCCCCGAATGATAAGAAAACAAGGATAGGGAATAATTTTTGTTTATCTCGACAGGAAACTAAATTATACTGAAATCCCCTTAGACAACAGGGAAGAGAAAGTACGGGAAAGCGAAGAACATTCCCTTTCCCATCCCTACTGCCTCCACAAAGATTATAAAACGGACGGGAGCGTTTACATGTGTGGGAACACGAGAGGGAAGGTGTCGCATGAAGAAGAAAAACCAGGTAACATTTTGCTTCAGGTTTTCAACTGGTAAGAGAAACAGAACCAACCAACCCCCACCCCCGCCAAAAAGGAAAACCAAGGCGCAGACCCTGAACCCTGGCTGCACGGATCTAACGCGGAAACGGCCCAAGAAAGGAAACAAGACCCGACAGACCCAAGGCGAAGCGCTGAAACACATTCGTGTCACCCTACTTATTTATTAATTCCGCCAAATGTATTACTGTGCCACTGCTTTCTAGGAAGTAGCTTACAGGCAGAAAGATTTAAAAAGCAAAATCAAATTCTTAAAATTACAAACGTCTTCTATCCATTCAAGAGTCACTGATGGCTATTCATTTATTTCGAGCTTTTATTAGAAAAGCTGGAATCCATAAATTGAAGCAGGGACATGTAAACAAAGGGCCGTATTAATTAAACGGTTTTTGAAGACACTGGGTGACCTGGGGGGAAATAGTTATTGATTTCCTGAGTTAATTCTCAGATGCATTATTTATACTTTTCTTTGTGCTCATCTTGCCGGGACCCGTGAGTTTCTAGGAACACGAGAACTCGGCCTCGGAGCTGCCGGCTGCTCAAGGCAATCAGAGTCCACCTAACTATGCAGTTTTTCTTTCATGCGGGTACCCAAAGCTTTTTAATAAGGATATCATTTCCCCCAAATACAGGGTGACAGCTGGTACCGGGCAGTGTGCAGGCTCTAAGGAGTCACCCCACACAGAACCAGCCATCGGGAAGGGTGAGTGGAAGAGGCGCAAGGGCAGGGAGGGGCCTCCGACACACACAGAGGAGAACGTCCCTCCGTCACGTGTGCGCATGCAGCACCGCAGTTCCTCTCTTCGCTACGGTGGGATCGGGCTACGAAGAAAGTATGTTAACCTGAGTTAGAATTCAATTACTCGATGGTACCTAAAAATACGGGGCAAAATTTCTTCTTTTCTTTTCCCTCAGTGAGTATTTCATAAATGCAGGGATCCAGAGCCCAGGCACTGAAACGGCACCAATAGTCCCCCTTAAATCAATTCCTTATCTGAGGATCTTAACATGTTATGTGTTATATTTTTCATGGGTAGGGAATATCAGCCAGACAAAACATTTAATAAATTTACTGACTGCCTATTATGTGCTAATAATAGCACATAATATGTGAAAAGTATTGGGAGACTCAGAGGAAAAGACATCGGGGAAGAAAGGAGATAAGAAGAAATGACAGACTATAAAGCATAGAACCCATAGTGAAATCCAGCTTTAAAAAGCACATACCCCATCCACCCAGTTGATTGAGAACTTCCAGGGGAGGAGCCTAGGAATTTTGAACTAGTGCCTCCAGGAATAAATGGACTATGGGATAAAAAAAAAAGCTCAGATGTGTCTGAAAATCACTTCCGTTATAACGGACTATGATCTTACAAATGGTAATGTTTACTTTGTAAATGACAGGTAATCCAGGAGGAAAAAAACAACAAAGTGCCTGAAATAAAACAACTTTAGCCCTGGCTAGTGTGGCTCAGTGGATTGAGCGCAGGCCTGCAAATCAAAAGGTTGCCAGTTCGACTCCTGTTCAGGGAACATGCCTGGGTTGTGGACCGGGTCCCCAGTTGGGGGCTCGTGAGAGGTAACCACACACTGACGTTTCTCCCTCTCTGTCTCCCCTCCCCCTCTCTAAAAATAAATAAATACAATCTTAAAAAAAAATCTTTACCTATGGAGGGAGGCAAGTATAATTTATAATGGGGAAATAAACAGACGTGCACAGAATTTTTTTTATTGTTTTAGAGAAAGAGGAAGTGGGGGCAGACAGAGAGAGAAAAAAACATTGATTTGTTAATCCACCTATTTATACACTCATTAGTTGATTATTGTATGTGCCCTGACCAGGGATCGAACCCACGACCTTGGTGTATTGTGATGATGCTCTAACCAACTGAGCTACCCAGCCAGTGCTGCACAAAAATATTATGCAGGCTTGAGAATGAGCCTTCCATAAACTGTAGGGCAGATCTATGCTGAGGGCAGGACATTTGAGGTGATGACCCTAGAACAATGAATAAGTTCACTACCAAGGATAAAGTAAAACTTAACAAAAATGTTTTATATAGAGATTCAGAAATTTTCAAAAAGGTTCAAATCCATAATAAAAATGTATGAAAACATGGCATCTATAAAATAAAATAAAAAAAAGAAAGCCACAAAGAAACATTCTGTCTATAGGTCTTCAGGAAAAAATAAACACCCTGCCCCCAAAGAGGAGATAGATTTACACACACAATCAAAGCCAGATAATAACATTTTGTAAGTGGTGCACAAAAATTAAAAGTCTAGCCTGTTTTTAGACCGAAGATGTAAAAGCACCTCAAAGAAGAGAAGTCTATTGGGGCCTAGACTTTGGGATTCACTATCTGGTCTGTGAACTAATAAAGATACAATTACAAAGAAAGTACTTAAGGAAATAGACTTGAACCACTGCCATACTAACAGAGTTTATAACTTCTCATGCATAAGCTACTGTTTCTCCCGAACATGAAAATTCTCCAGGACACACTCCCTGACCAAGACCACAATTCTGAGTAATTAGGAGTTGAGTTCCTAGAAAGACTCAAGAGAAGGCCTTATTGCCCCAAGTAGGACTCGGGGAAGGAAGCAATGATGTGAACACTAAGTTAGCTGGGTAGGCATCACTGAGACAGGAATGAGTAACACCTAGGGAGGTCGCGCCACACCTGCCCATTCTTAACTACCAGCTCCCCGCCATGAAACCCATGACTGTCCCTAACCTCTCATCTACCTGGTTACCTATTTGCCCTGTTTAAAATCCTGCCCAATGTGCTGTTTTCCATAACGCTCTTTCCAATTATACTGGCACCTCGATACTCACTGGCTTCAGAACTCGTCAAACCTGGTACTCGTTGCATTTTGATGAACTGTTTCAGCACTTGGCGCTCGCTCGCCACTGATCACACTCGCCAAAACTCGTATGAGTCACGATGCCACCAGCAAGAGAAAATGCTTCTTCAATCGTCACTCGCTCGCCACTTGTCAGAACGAATTAATGACGAGTACTGAGAGGTACCACTTTCAATATTCAAAATTTCACTTTATTGTCCTTCATTGATGCCACAATTCCTCAGCTCAGTTCTCACTTCTTACAGCAGGGGTGTCAAACTCATTTTCACTGGGAGCCACATCAGCCTTGCAGTTGCCTTCAAAGGGCCAAATGTAATTTGAGGACTGTATACATGTAACTACTCCTTAACTAGGGGCAAGGAACTCGGCGCTGTTGCCAGGTAGAAACGAGGTGCCAGGCCGGATAAAACAAAGTGGAGGGCCGGCGTCGGCCCTCCGGCCTTGCATCTGCCACCTGTGTCTTCTGGAAGCCAGCTCTGATCAACACCGCCTGGTGCTTCCTCCAAATGCTCCTGAGATCCATCTGGCCTTGCTCACAACTACAATGCTGGAGTAAAGCACCTGACTCTGACACATAATTGGGTTTTCTGGGATCAAGATACAGCTCCTGAAGTAAAGAGCATCTCTTCCTATAAACCAGAAGGCACATGGAATAGGGCTTTGTGGTTTGACACCTGTGGTGTAAGAACTATGAGTGGTTTTTTTTGAAAAAGGTAAGCTTTCTAAACTGATGGGGTTACCTATTGCCAATCTCTCCCATTGCACTGTGGGCTCCCCGTCAGACAGTGACGCTGAATGACTCTCTCGGTCTCTCTGAAGGGTATGCTAATTCTAAGCAAGCACGAGAACCATGGAGTGACTCAAAAAATATATGCCGAGCAAAGATCATAAAACGTTCAAGCTAGGTCAACATTTTTCTGGAGATAGAGACTTAGGGAAGGGAAGGATTTTGCTTAAGAGGCACTGGGCCAATATTTCAAACCTTTCTCTGACGTGTTTCGCTCCAGGTTCAGCAGGTCCTCGGACGCACAGGAGTAGGCTATGAGGACAGGGGACCTGTGGCAAGCCTGGCTCTCCTGCTCTAACACAGCTTCCAGGTGGTCCATTTCCTGCTTGATCTTCATCAGGTTATCCTGCATGGTGTCTCTCTGCTGCAAACACACACACACACACACACACACACACACACACAAAAACAACACTGAGAAAGTTACACTCTTCTAGAAACTTGCCAGAGTGCAAGAATGTCATACCAATTAATTTTAGCATGGGAATTAAAATCACCTAGTATGGAATGATAAGTTCTGGCTGAACGACTTTTAATCCGACCATATTCATGCAATTAATGCCCATGAAATTATTTCAGAATGATATTAAAGGAGTAAAAAAAAAAAATCCATCAAACTCTCCCTAATAGACTTGCTTTATTGTGATGTCCTTTTGAAGTTATCACAGCGCTCTCTTTTAAAAGCACAGGAGCAAAAAAAAAATAATTAAGGTGCTTAGACACTTTTGATACTTAAAATTAGCACGACTCTGTTAACATTTTACACAGGCCGTGTTTCAAAGATTTAGTATTGGGGGACTCAGAAGCGATGTGGGTTAGTCCACACAAAAACGTCTGACTTCTGGCTTGTGGGGACACTTCTTTTTCTGGGATTCTTTGAACATTTAGTTTCTAACAGGAAGGACAAAAAGCGAATTCCTGTTTGTTCACTCGATGGCTGTTTGTTGACCATCTATTACACACGTCCGACACCGTCCTAGCGCCGGGGACACAGTCCGCACAGCGCTGCCACTCTGTCTGGCGACTGTACCTAGAGACCTTCACGGAGGAGGACCTGGGAGGGGAGGGACCTGCAGACACAGCTCTAGGAACCCCTGTAAGGAGTTACTGTTTCCAACTCAAGACAAGGGGCTCTTCTTCACATACAGGGCTCATGTCAGAAGGATATCTGATAAATACAAGGTTTTCGATAAGCAAAGTATCTGATGATCAAGGAGATTTACATAACAGACCTTTCTTCCTTACTTTTAAGAGGGAATGTTAATGGGTGCCAGCAAACCCTGGGGAAACACGGATTGTTTCACCCTATTTCTTCTCCTGATGCTTGAAAATGACTTTGCCCCCCACTAAAAACCAGCCATCCGCTTTCTCCTGCTGCACGGAGTTCACAGTTTGCAGGGGGCTTTTACGACTAGAAGACGCATTCCCAGCTCCACCAAGGCTTCCAGCGCTGCCCCGAGCCTGCTAGGCTGCAGAAGCGCCACTGCCACCGTGTGGCGCCTGGGAGTAGTTCCACTGCCAGGCCAAAAGGGCTCCCCTAGGTAAATCTGGACCAAAACCTCGGGTACCTGTAAGCTCTAGAAGCTGCATTAGATACTCCTGGCGTGCCCATCACATCTACCCTCGATGTGGCCATTAAATAGGTTATAAAAATCAGCAAAAATAATAGTGGGAGAATTAGTTATCTGTCCTTTAGTTTTTCCCAAAGGAATTACTTTATAGCTTGGACAATTCCCCTGTAGGCAAATGGACGGATTACACTTGGGAGACCAATACCAAGCTGGTTACCAAGTTTTCTTGATTCTAATTCTTACGTGTTTCTCAAACTAGCCCTACTCTTCCATTTCCAACTCTGCTACTCTGATTTCTATTTTTAATAAAGCTACACTGTGGAAATTCCTTTAAAGCATGTTTATCATGCCTTTCTTCCATAAGGACCCTAGTGGCGGACCACTGCTAAGTGAATGCTTTCTGAAAACTACCTTATCATCACTCATCATAGCCTGCAGGAGGAAGTCCAAATCGCTGAGCATAGCATTCAGAAGGCCCTCCATACCCTCTCATCTTTTATTTCTCTCCCGAAGCGCCCACATGCTCTGTTTTCCAGCCACACAGGACCACTTTGTGCTTCCTGGGCATTTCACACCTTGCGTGCCTTTGCCCGGACTGCTGCCTCCCTTCCCTCTCCACCTGGAGGAGTTCTTCTCATCCTTCAAGGCCCAGTTCGATGACCTCCCTCAGAAGCCCCCACCAACCACACGTCAACAGATGACCCCTTACTACTTCATGCACACGGCTGACGCACGCACAGACCGGGGTGGGACCCGCGGCCCTCCTCTCGCACAGCGGTGCTCTCCTGTTTTTGCTACAGGGCAGGCGGGTTTTGAGAGTTCGGCAGCTAGCAGGGGTGTCCAACCTTGTGGGGTCTCTGGGCCACACACTACATACACAAACATTAACAAAAACGGATGAGCAAAAAGGTTTTAGGTAAACTTATGCTTTCGTGTTGCACCGCATTCATAGCCATCGTGGGCCACGCGTGGCCGGCAGGTCGGACGCCTAGCTTACTCATTAAATTCAGTACGTAGTGTTGGTGAGCGCGGTGGTGTGCAGGAAATAAAGGGCTGCGTGAGTCCCACCTAAACAGGAGACTGTAATCTGACTCGAGCAGACGAGGTACCCCACGCTGTCACACCCCCGACGCTGAGGGAGGACCCAAGCCGGTGTAAGACTGCGGGGGGGCATCATACGCCTGAACGCGGAAGGGACCACCCACGCACCCACGCGTGCTTGTTACCTGAGTGGTCAAAATATCGCTCTGAGAGGACAGCCCTGAAGAGTCTTCAGAGAGGCCTGTTTCACTCTCGCACTCAGATGCCGCTTCATCTGAAATGGTAATAAAAATAGACTCGGATGTAAAAACAGTCAACACTGCAATGTGCTGTAGCCGTTTCTTCCCACTGGCAGGACACATACCGCTTTCCTGTTATAAAAAGTGATTACGCTCCTTGTTTTGGGACACCCGGATTTCCTCCAGAAATCACAACAACAAAAACCAGAAGCAAGCCCACCAGCCGTTTGGGCATTGAGCGATGTTCCAGCTAGGTGAAGGACTTTTAAGGAAAAGCACCTTAGAAGAAACATGCTTAAGGTTGAAGAAGCAGTTACTCTAAATATACTTGGTAACTCCTAAAATGTGCTCCCTCAAAGGACGAACCCCTAGCTCATTTCTATAAAAGCAATACCTAAGTTTGAATCCACACTCCGCTCTTCTCGATTCTCCTCTTCCAGGTCAGGTTCCCCTTCCTCATCATCTGAAACCAGTTCCTTGTCGCTCGGAACTTCCTCGTCTTCAGACTGACGGCTCACTTGCTTACAGTGAGAATCGAACATCAAGAAAGAATCCTGGCTGTCTGTATTAGCGGCAAAATCTTCTGCCACACCGCACTGTGAGGAGAATAAGCTAACAGAACATCCTGCTTCTTCGCTAAGGTGACGCTCCTGGGACGCCTTTGCTGACGTGACCTGGTCACTGCGGTTACTTAAGCTACTCTTTAAAGGTGCTTGGTTCTCCTCTGTTTTCTTAGACGGACCCTCTGCGGCAACAGCGCTGCATCTGGGCGACGCAGAAGGTCTACTGGTGACCTTACCAAACAGTAAGTGCTGGAAGCAGGGCAGCTCCTCGTCCTCACTAGATGTGTCCTCTTCTGAGGATTCGAGTTTCCTGGCCCTTCTTGGGTGACCCCGAGCCAAATGTGGGTGGGCTAAGGGACTGGGGCTCCTTCTGCATTCGTTCGGGGCACTTTTGCTAAAAACAGCAGATCTGTCCTTAATGCCACCTTCAGCAAAGCTGTTATTCTCCTTTACCTTGTCATCCTTTAACAGGTCGTCTAGGGTCTCGGAACAAACCTGAGAAGCGGGACTGCTTCCCAGAGGTTGTTCTAGGTTATCTGAAATTTGACACGGAGAGAAATCTGCATTAACAGCCCGCACTACTCCCCCACCTTCTTGCCTTTTTATGTCAGGATCTTTACAATTACTCAGAGGAAGACTCGGTGTACAGACTTCAGGTGGCATGAGCCCCAGTCTGAGAATGGCACTCAATTTTGACCCTCTGTGTCTGCCTGCCTCTGCTTGAATATTTTCACCACTGGAGCCTACTTCATTGGTACTGCTTGAGCTGCCTTCTTTAACGGTGCTTTCTCTCGTTTTGGTCTGGCTGGTTGTGCCCACCGTACTCTGAATGACGTTCTCATGTCCCACTGCTCTGGCAGGTGACACTGAATGTTCCTCCAACTTTTCCTCTGGCAGGTTTTCTTTACTGACCGTTTTAACAGATGACCTGACGGGAGAAATGGGTGGTATATGATACGGGTTTTGTGAAATTCTGTATTTATTTTCAATAGTGAGTTTCGTTTCCTTGCCTCTGAACGGAGATGACTGACAAGGCCTGGAGCTTCCTTTCAGACTATATTTGGCGTGTGCTCCTGGCTTTCTATCTTTCTCAGAAACCTCAGGAAAGCCTGCCGCTGGGTGAGGTGCCCGCACGTGCTCCGTATTCGATTCCTTCTCTCCCCGATGTTCTTCCTTTTGCCCACATTCAAGAGTGACTTTTGGACTTTGTTTCCTTGTGGGCCTGGAGTGGGAAGAGACGGTTGCATATTCCTTTTCTGGATTTCCTGGATTGGAACCCAGAGCAAATGACTGGCGCTTTGAAACCTTAAATGTATTCTGTAAATACTGTGTATCGAGGTCGCTCTCTTCCATTTCTATGCTCGTCTCCTGAACCTCACAGCTCAGGAGATCCTTCACGCCCTCTGTGTCATTAGAACAATCACGGATACGTTCCTTCGGGTTTCCAGCTGCTGCACACCCACCCACACGTTGATCTGGTGCCGTTTCCGCCTTCCCTGGGGTGTCAGGTGCCAGCAGGGAGACGCTATCCTGAGTGTCACAGTCAGTTTCGGGCACCAGTAAAATGTTGGTACTCTCCGTAGACCTGTCAGTTTGCAAGCTTCTTCCTCCACTGAATATCAGATCTTTGAGGTCTTTGGTGCCTCTAGACACTTGAACTGTTCCCCCTTTCTCTTCTATTTCTCCTCTTTGAAGGTTAGCATCGACAAGTTCTTTAAGTTTAGTAGAACCTGAACCATTAGTAAAAACGCCAGATACGTCTGTTAAATTTAGCTCTGGAAGAGCATCACTGGCGAGACTTTTGTTTATGTGTTCATTTGCCTGGTTACTCTTGTTGGCTCCAGCCGCAGGGTCTGGACCTTCCACGAGCTGAAGCTTTTTGCTCTGTCTGACTGGTATCTGCTCAGAATTTCCTTTCTTCGCCTCTTCGCAGCTAGAACAACTATCAATCTGTAGTTCGGTATGAGTAGGTGAGCTCGGATTTTTACTGACTACGAGTTCCAGTGCATAAAGATGCTTGGGAGCGGTCTTCTTCCTCAGCCTAGTCTTCTTGGGTGCTTTTGAACTGTGGACATTTAATTCTAGTTCCATGTTGCTTATGCTGCTGCTTATAGGCTCAGCTTTAGCTCTGAAAGCAGGTTCTTTCTCCACTGATTCTGTTGGGTTAGAATTCGTCTCATTCTGAACATAATCACCTTCTGTTTCATTCCCGTGGCCATTATTAGTAACGTCCATCGCATGACCATTCTGTTCTGTTCGGTCAGTTCCCTCAATTAACTTCTCAGGCGTCTTTGGAACAACTGTCAACTCTACCTTCTTGATAAAATCCTCTGGGTGAAGGCCCGGGGTAGTTCTCCTTTTGCGCTTCAGTTTATTGGTGAAGGGACGCTCTGTCATCTGAGGTTCTGGAGTGGATGCTCCCGTAGCCAGACTGTCAGTTACGTGGCTCACGTTAGGGAGGCTGGCCTTCCTCCGATAGGTTTTCCCGAATATTTTATCTTCAATATTACTTTCTACTGGTTTGGCGTGGACTCGTTCACTTTCACATAGTAAAGCACCACGAGGCTCAGTGGCCAGTGAGGCGATGCTCTCTGGAGAACCAGGATACCCAACCACTTCATCTGGAACTTCTACTGCATCGGCTACTTCCACATTTGACTCAGGCCTCCCGTCGTGGGAGCCATCGGACGCTGGTGTTTCATCGCGTCTGGAAAACCACTCGTTAACTTTCTGTATGCTACTGTTCCGAGTTATCCAAGGAACATCTTGGGACTCTCCAGGGTGGTCAGAGGAGGGAGATTCTCTTCTCCCGTTCTGGGGATCAGCATTCAACACTGCGCTTTCCTCTGTGCTGGGAGTCTGCCCGTCGCCACATGTTTCTTTACTTTCAGCCCATCTGCTCCGCTGGCTCCTCGCTAAGCCAGGCCGCTTGCTCTGATGGCAGAACTCAGCCTTTCCCACAGCCGTCTGGGCTCCAGTGAGGAGCAAACTGCTGCTCTCACGCTGCAATGAGCCGGCACGAGTACGTGTGCCACGTGGTTCCACATGCAAGTCTGACGCAGAAATGCCCTGAGACTCTTCGGGAAGCTTCTCAGGTGCATGCCTCTTCTCAGGGGTGGTCAAGTCTTGATCACCGGACTGACGACGTTCAGTATTTGTTACGTCCTCAGAAAACTCACAAGCAGCTGTAGGTATACAAAAAGGACAGGTGATTAACAACAAATTATCATGGACAAATATGTACTTCATGAAACTTGGGGGTAGAAATGAAACAACTGGCTAGTTTTAGAGAAACTGTCTTCCTAAGCAACCAAGTATACTGAAAATGTAGCTCAAACTCTTTCACATAATTCCTAGATTCTCATTAGTTCCGCTCAAGATTAGAATTTAAGCTTCAGAATTCTTCCTACTCGTAAGCCACACCTCCTGTTTCTGTAACCTGAACAGTGCAGTAAAAGCAGACTGGGCATCAGACACACTGTACTCTGTCCTATCCCCAGACTCATACACCCTGTATTTAAATACCAGCATGCAAAAGATGAAATAGAAACACATAAATTTAAAGTAAAAGGCAACAACCTGTTACATAGGGCTCTGTTACCACCACATCGGTCTAGTGCCATCGAAATAGACCAGGCTGTACCATAACATCAGAGAAAGAGGGATGTTCTACCTCTGCCAAGAGAGGCTGTGAATTATAAATGTCCTAAATGGTCTTCAGAATAATCTAATTATAGTACTGTATCTACCCACTCTCTCTCCAGTGTCTATTACACGGGGAAGACTTGCCATTACCCTTTTTTGCAGAACTCGAACCGGCGTCAGCCCTGGAACCTTGAGGGGCGATCTGTAACAGGCCGTGATCTCCCACGCTGCAGGGGGAAACAAAGCCTTAATGAGAAACACCAGCTGTGTGCCCCGAGAGCTGTCAGGTGAGCGCAATCAAGTATTTTAGCTCCTTTAGGCAGGTGGCCGTGAGCTGATCAATTTAATTCACTTTTTGAAGCCTGCTCTTTAGTAACTACTAGTCAAAATGAAGGGGTGCAAGACTGACACACAGTCTCAAAAACCAGAGAGCAAGAATGCAGAACACTGCTTTTACGGACGAGCGAATGAGAATCAAAATTTAAATGACAGCCCATTTAAATACAAACCATGACCAAAAGACAGTAAGGCAAAAACAAACAACAAACGTTCCCGCAACACTGAAAAGTGTATCTTAACGAGAAAGCAAGAACAAAGACATCTAAAACAGATGAAGCAGACATCCCAACAGCATGCAAAGAGTGCACCCTTCTGCTACTCTGCCTTCTGTACTTCTTTTTGGGCTAAAAACCACTGGCTCTCAATTGAGAGATTAGGAAAAAGCTATTTGCAAACAAATTCTGATTGGCAATGACATCTTTATAGTTCACACAAGATATTACAGATCTTAAGGTCAAGGAATAATTTCTAAGGAAAGCAATTTGCTGGGTAACACAGTTTGGGGCTGCTTGTAGATTTTTGTATAATTCACATAGGTTAAGTTTGAGGAATAGATAGAACTGAGAAACAGAGGAAGCAAAGAAAAATGGAGTCCTGGAGTCCTGACCAGTGGGTGGCTCAGTTGGTTGGGCGTCATTCCTCAAAGCAAAATCTCGCCAGTTTGATTCCTGGTCAGGGCACATGCCTAGGTTGCAGGTTTGGTCTCCCGTCAGGGTGTGTATGAAAAGCAACTGATTGATGTCTCTCTTTCACATTGAGGTTTCTGTCCCTCTCTTTCTCCCTCCCTCACCCTCTCTCTAAAAATAAATAAATAATAACATCTTAAAAAAATAAAAAGGAGTCCTCAAATATTTTTATCGACCACGATTACCACAGTGTCAATACACTGTAGTGCATGAGGAGCTGAGCGAGCACAGATCAGAACCATCTGCTGGAGTGAGTCTGTGAAGAGCTGTTATTTTAAACAAAAGAATTTAAACAAACACAAAGGGTATTTTCGCAGCTATACAATGAGATGGAAGAAAACGGTGTATTTTAATGCCTTGATTCTAACCTAAAAAAAATATACCAAACCTTAACATTAACAAAATACAAAAACGCCAGCTTCGCAGACGAAGGCTCCCTTTGACTCACCTGTAATAACTTGCCTTATTAACTGTATCCTCAGAAGAATCGGATCCTAAAAAATTCATCAAATACCAAATCAATGAAAGAATTTGTACCGAAAGGTTAAACTTAAAAAAAAAAAAAGAAAGAAACACTTTTTGCAAAACAGATATTAATTCAAGGAGTACTTACTACGCACCCACTATATGACAGGCGCAATGATACATATGTCAGGCAGTACAGAGAAGTAGTTATAAGCACAGGCTCTGAAGCCAGATTTCCTAGGTTGGAATCATGGCCCTGCCACTTACTAGCTTCACTACCTCTCTGTGCCTTAGTCTCCTCATCTGTAAAATAGATGTAATAACAGTAACAACTCATGGGGTTCGTCAGGCCTCTCACGTGAGTTTTACAAGTAAAGTACAACAGGGCCTGGACTACACTAAGTGCCCCTAAATATCGGCTATTATAATTTTGATTATTATTGTGTCACAAAAATAATCAAAATAAAAAATGCGTAAGTCTAGGAACTTGAAAAAGACATACAAATAATTGCCAGAGAATCTGGTGAGTGCTACGGTAAACATATGGTGGCACTTGGCAGCCCAAAGCAGGGCTGCTCTTTCTAATTATAAATATATTCCAAAGGATAAGAAAATTAGAGAAAACTACCTAAACCGAGCTCAGCTCTTCTTAAAAGTCATTCTCGCCCTGGCTGGTGTGGCTCAGTGGACTGAGAGCTGGCCTGTGAACCAAAGGGTCGCTGGTTTGATTCCCAGTCAGGGCACATGCCTGGGTCGTGGGCCAGGTCCCTAGTTGGGCGTGTGTGACAGACAACCACACATTGATGTTTCTAGCCCTCTTTCTCCCTCCCTTCCCCCCTTCTACAAATAAATAAATAAATAAATAAATAAATAAATAAATAAATAAATAAAGTCTTTAAAAAAAAAGTCTTTCTAGTCTAGTACAATTTATGTTGGATCCTTCCAAATGCTGTCACCAACCAATCATACTCTTTCTTATCCATCTTTCCAAAGTACAGTTAAGTCCTCACTTGATATTGTCAATTGTTTCTGCCACTTCAAGCAAATTGTCATATAACAAAACCAACCTTATCCACAGAATAACTGATATAAACAAGAGTTACTGTACTTTCCTCTAACATCTCGTGATGTTATAACAAAACGATGTTGAAAGAAACGTTTTTCAAAGACATGCTGTGTATTTACTTACACATACTTATAACCAGACATCTTTCTTTTGCTGTCTTTATAAAGTAAGGTTCTTCAAGATAAGAGCTTCATCTTTTGCATTATTTATAAATTCACCATAAGGCTAATATTATTTTATTTTCACTTCTCAAAGTTCCCTGCAATTGTGTCAATTATCACCAAGGTTTCCGGTAAAAGTGTAACACAAAGAATCTAGCAACCACTATTCTAAACTTAAGAAATCTGAGACTCTTACCCAGTTCAATGTAGACGGACTTATTCTGAGATTGTACCTGCTGCTTTGTCCTCAGAGATTTCACAATTTCGAGGTTAGACAGTTGGACACCAAGACTGGTTTCCTGCTTAAGCAATAAAAAACAATCAACTATTGACCAGTCCTTTGCTTTTTTTTTCCCCCCCTGCTGAAGAGAAACTCAAGGCTACTGGAAAAACAAAACAAAACAAAAAAAAACAAATAGACCATAATAAACGTGCTAAAATTTATGACACCTGGAAAAATCACTCGGCAAATTACACATCAAAATGTATGTTATGCTCTAATGGTTTGAATATTTTTTCCTCTGTTGTTTTAAACTTTTCTAAACAACATGTATCATCTGTGTAATTTCCTGAAGTATAAGAAAAGAACGTGTCGGGCCCTGCCGGGTAGTTCGGCTGGTTAGGGCATCGTCCCCATACACCAAGGCTATGGTTTCGATCCCCGGTTAGGGCGTGTACGAGAAGCAACCAGTGCATGCATAAATAAGTGGGACAACAAATCGATGTTTCTCTCTCTCTCTCTCTCTCTCTCTATCTCAAATCAATAAATTAAAACAAAAGCGTATTTTGAAGCTGATACTTTATATTACAGTACAGAAAGAGAATAAGATTCATTAGCACACATTTCCAATCACATCTGGTAACAGGGTTAGCAACTAAGATAATTTAAAAAAATACATAAAAACAATAAAAACCCAGCAAACCTAAGTGCATACAGTATAAGAAAGAATATTTTTAAAAACCCAACATTACTCCGAATAAGTTTTGCTTTTTCTTTCTGAGCCTTTCAACATTTACTGAAAAATGAATGCTGGTATCATAACAACTATTATTTCTGAGATCTCCATTATTCATTCATATCAGTAACAACAGAACAAATCACTCATTTTTTTTTTTGACAATTATACCTTTTAAACTGAAGCAATTTTCAATCATAAAAACTGATTTTCTTTTCAGGCAACTGTTCAGAGGAAATAAAATAGATGCACTTCCTCACGCCTGGAAAAGGCCTGGAAAGGGACTGGCAAACTAACTGCACGGCCGGGCTCTCGGCTCCTCTAGCCCAGCCATTAGGACACTTGTCCGGCCACTTACTTTACCATCTGACCTCGTTTACTGACTTCGTATGTAATAAGTCCATGATCATACGCCACATTCACTTCGTATATAATAAGTCCATGATCATACGCCACATTCACTAATTCGCAGTACCTAATAAAGACATTTTACCAGAATAAACAAAAAGGGCTTTACCAAGGTAGGATTCTCAGGCTCACTCTGCCGAAGTCTTAGGGCGCGGTTTCGGTAACCCAAACTTTGGATGATAGAAACTTCCTCCTTTAGATGCTCAGGAGAATTAGTTCCCTTTTTTGAAAAGCTGTAACTATTTGCAACTGTGAATTACAAAGGACAACATTTTTATGCTTGGAAAAATGGATTACTTGTAACCAATCAGAGAACCAGGAGAAATCCTGTGCATGTTCTTTGTTGTATTAAGACAATGCGTGCAAGTTCACTTATAATTTTTAAAATCAACTCTGTTAATTCTATTGCTAGGAAACACACAGATGGTCAAAGTTATTTCTGCTCCTTTTCCCCACCCTGATACTAACAAATTTGCCTATTAATACCATACTTCACTGAATCTAAGGTACCAACAATGTAAAAAGCACCATTATTTTCTATGCCACTAAGAAAACATACAATTGAACAATGACACACTATTGGTGATAAACTGTCTTTAATTTTTAAGACCTTAAAATGTGACAAGTGTGCCCCTTAGGACTGATAAAATGAAATGTGAGACCACTTTATTCTCCACTGGGAAATGATTTAACAACTGGATTACAGGTAGAGAGCTAAAAATAACCCAGACCAGGGGTCCCCAACCCCACCACCCACCTACCAGAATCTGCCTGAGGTCTGCCTTCTGTCTCCGCCCCGCCCCCGGCCCCCTGCACAGCAGGTGAGTGGAGCTGGCTTGAGCTCCGCCTCCTGACCTCCCCCACCCCACCTGAGCCCTGCCTCCTGTCCTGTATCGTCCCCTTCACATTCTGTTCCCTACTCCACACCTCTTTCTTGGAAAAACCTGGTCCCTGTTGCCAAAAAGATTAGAGATACCTGACCTAGACCAAAAGGTGTTATCACCTATTCTTAGAAAATAATTGCGTAAACCACCTCCTGAGTTTCAACAACAGCCGCTTGAGCACTGGGCCCCGGGGCTACGCAACACTTACACTGCAATCCTGTGTCCAGCTCAAACGCCTGAATGACTTTCAACAGCTCTTCAACAAGTTGACTAAATCTTGTACTTTCCTGTAGGCTTCTGAAATTAAATTAATTGAGAGACATACTCAGCGAGCAATTATCAACTTTTTAAGGGCACTAACATAAGGAAAGACATGTAAACTAATTTTAAAAAGATGTGGCAACATTAGAAAAACTATATTCAAAGAACAGAGCTAACAGTGATATCACATAATCAAAACATCGACATCAGCATTTATATATATATGTGTATATATACATTTTTTGCCATTCAGGCCTATCAAAAGCTTGTAACTATCTAAAACAATAATCCGATGACACAGTGGATGTACATCCACTGCACAGAGAATGTACTATTCTTAACATCTGCACCCCACCCACCCAACCCCTCACTTCTAGCTCTGGGGGGTTTCTATCAAATATGGATCACATTATTTCAAAAGCACAGAGAGATGACAATATCCAAAGAAAGAATCTGATTTAGGAAAGTTGTAGGACAATATAATTCATGTATTCCTTTAAATATCTGAGGGACTACTATCTGCCAAACACTGGAAAAATAGTGCTGACTGAGACAAAGCCAGTGACCTAATGGAACTTAAATCCTGGCCAGAATCCTGCCGGGATGCACAATATATGAATACATTGTGTGTATGTAAATAATTAAGTAGCAATTGAGTGTGCAAGGAAGAAAAATAAAAGGATCAGGAGACAATGGGGGCAGGTGGTACAGCCCTACTTTAGATAAGGCTGCAAATTCTTGCACCATTGAAAAGCCTTAGAAAAAGGCAACGAATTACTAATATCTGTAGAAGGTACCATAAAACTTTCAGGAAAATAACTTAAGAAATCGTTTATCCTGTCAGCCATACACCCTTTTACACATTTTCCTACTGAGGAACAGTTCCATAGGAACGCCAGCTAGGGTGTTAAGGAATGTCCACTTTTTCCTGTTGCTTCTAGCCTCCCGTCACCACCCGGTCACACACCTTTTGGTTATATCACTCTTACACAAAGGACACTGTGACGGCCCTTTCTTCTGGTTGAGAAGTTTCAGCATACAAAATCTAGAAATTATGAAGAATAAAAAGAACAATTCAAGTTACTCCTTTTTGTAGAGGGGATATTCAAAAGGCAAAGAGCCATGAAAAAAATAATCTCACAACTGCCATTAAGAGCCATTCTAAAGGTAATGACAGGTGAATTACCACCAATGGCTTTAATCGTTTTTAGATGCTGGATGAGGAAAAAACCAAACTACATAAGCAATGATCTATGAAAACTGAACTTCCATGCATATGGCTGACTGTTTTGAGCAAATAAAACGCATTAAAGAGCTAATAAGGTCTATTTAATAATAATTATTACTTTATGCTGTAAATCAGACACAAATGGTAAGTATTTCAAGTAAAATGATTGTAATCCGTTTAAAAACTCGGCACCTTCCCACGAAGCCGCAGCCATTAGGCAGCGCGGCAGTAGCGCAGCGCCGGGATGCTGCACAGGATGGGCGGAACCGAGAGGCCAGGAACTGGCGGCACAGAATCCAGCGCATCGCACCCACAGCCTGGAGGGTTTAACAATATTGTGCGAACTCTAATTTTGAGTTCCGTGTCCAAGTCTACCCTCGCAGGAAGCAATAAATTAAGAGTTCTAAGTCTAGGCAAAATAAAGATGGGCTGACTCGGATGATATTGGGTGCTCTGCATTGCTGTAGATAGAACTAAGGTTATGGACCAATATGGTCGCCAGTTAAGGGAAATAAGTAACGAGAGTCCCACAGCTTAGCATCCACGTACGTTGCTGGTCCCACCAAACCTTGTCAGTTTCTATAACGAGGTTCTGTTTTCTTGATCAGACCTCTTGTTTGTACTTCAGTTCCAACCATTAAGAATCCACCACGTGCTCTTTACCTGGAAGACTGTGCCTGGGGGCCTTGCCGGGTATTGCAATCCCATGGGGCGTGGCTTTTGTCTCCCAAAGACAAGTCTTACCCCTAACCTTTAGCCTCCAGCGGCTGTAACCCTGCTACTTTTCTTCCCTTATACCCACCACTTGAAATTTCTGCTTACTTTTGCTGCTAGACTCCTGAGGGACTATGTTTGATTTACTTGCTAGATTATCCATCTCTTGCCTACTTCTGGACCTCTGCCATATCAAATGGTTTCTAGACTCCAAAATTCCCTGATATTATGATCTAATGTATTCATTTAGCCATCAAACCCTCCTAATACTAAGTCACCACTTACCTGGATTTCCTTAGTTGACTCTAAGACTTGCTTTATTTGATCTATCTGGTCTTTAGGCCTCAGCCATCCCTGATCTGGCTCCTCTTACTATCCTCCAAATAAGTGTATATGAAGGTCATCATTCCAGAACACTGCTTCTTAAACTTCAATGTGTGTAAGACTCTCCCGGGGAATCTTGTTAAAATGCAGATTCTCATCCAGAAGGTTTAGAGTAGGGCTGAGATTCTTGAAAATTCCCATGTGATATGGTTGCAGCAGGTCCATGAGTCCTACTTTGAGCAGTAAGTTCCTAGACCTGCATTGCCCAATACAGCAGTCACTAGACACCCGTGGCTACTCAGTACTTGTAGTGCGGCTACTCTGAACTAATGTATGCTGTAAGCATAAAAAAACAAAGGCTCTTGAAAACTCATTATAAAAAAAAAGAAAGAAAAAAGAATGTCAGCCCCAGCTGGAATGGCTCAGTGGATTGAGTGCTGGCCTGCAAACCAAAGGGTCGCTAGTTCAACTCCCACTCAGGGCACATGCCTGGGTTGTGGGCCAGGTCCCTAGTGGGGGGAGTGCAAGAGGCAACCACACATTGGTGTTTCTCTCCTTCTCTTTCTCCCTCCTTGCCCCCCTCTCTAGAAATAAATAAATAAATAAATAAATAAATAAAATCTTAAGGGAAAAAAAAAGAATGTCAAGCACATATCTCATTAATATAGTTTATACTGAATTGGTAAAATTTTGGTCACAATTGGGTTAAATATATATAAATATGTAACTATAATATTTAAAAACTTTTTAGTAATGTGGCTACTACAATATTTAAATTACACTCATGGTTCATCTTATATCTCTTTGGACAATGTGGTTCTAGATCTTCCAAAAAATATTACACATTTCAGTTGTTTGGAAACTGTAAGACAATGCATGGATAAACTAAGTAATTTTTTTCTAGACTGGTACTATTATGTTTTTTGTATATATCACGTAAGATTTCAGAACTACAGGCTTACCCCAGTTAACAGCGCTATTTTATTATGAGCAATTAGAATTCATCCTGTGAAAATACCATTAATGCTTGGGACATTTCTCCAGCTTCCTCACATAGAGATCAAAGTGTTATTCCGATTATAAAGGTATTACAGAAGAGGTTCCATGAAAAAGTGGATCTGTCACATGGGAATTACATGATACTTTTAGTTCTAACATAGCACTTAAAATATGGCTGGTTCTTTTGCTTATCATATTCTCCATATTAGGAGTCACAAGCCCTTCTCACTCTCCCCCGGTTGCCCACTTCAATTAACCCTTTCAATCTCAACAGATGTTTTCATCTCCAACTTAACTGAGATCAAATGACCTCAAAATCTTTCTGTAGAATTGTTCTCCTTTAAAAAAAAAAGATTCTAGCCCTGGCTGGCATAGCTCAGTGGATTGAGCGTGGGCTGCGAACCAAAGTATCGCAGGTTCGATTCCCAGCCAGGGTACATGCCTAGGTTGCAGGCCATAACCCCCAGCAACCGCACATTGATGTTTCTCTCTCTCTCTCTATCTCCCTCCTTTCCCTCGCTAAAAATAAATAAAATCTTAAAAAAAAATTTGTTAAAAAAAAAAGATTCTACCCATTTATGTTTAGAGACAGGCGAAAGGAGGGAGAAGAGGAGAGAAACATGGATTGGTTGGGCCCTGGCTGGCAACCTAGGCATGTGCCCCGACAGGGAATTGAACTGGTGACCTTTCAGTTAGGAGACTGACACTCAATCCACTGAGCCACACCAGCCAGGGCACAGAATTATTCTCCTTTTCTTTCATTACTGCTTATGAATAATAACTTTATTTCTCTGCTTATGAATAATAACTTTATTTCTCTTGCACCTATTTTCTTTTTCCAACCCTTTCCACCTCCTCCTGCAAATGCCAGCTCACTTCTGAAGGGCTCCTTCCTGTCCTCACACAACGACTACACATGTATGCATAATTTCTTTTTTTCTAGGCACATTCTACTTTGTTCTCTTTGTATCTTTGCTCATATTATTTCCTCTTCCTGTAATTCCCTTCTTCCACAAGCTCTCAAAGTAATGAATGTCTGTACTTTGATTTTTCCTTTACTCACTATAATACCATGTATTCATCACTCAAGGTGACGGGAAGACACACAGTGTATTTCACAAAGATTCTCATCCAGAAACAGTGAAAGCTCCACATTTAAAAGGTTAATCTTCAGCTATCTGTAACCTTTTAAATACCGTGACTTTTATTTTATTTTATTTTTTAAAAGATTTTGTGCCCTGGCTGGCGTAGCTCAGTGGATTGAGCGCGGGCTGGGAACCAAAGTGTCCCAGGTTCGATTCCCAGCCAGGGCACATACCTGGGTTGCAGACCATGGCCCCCCCCAACTGCACATTGATGTTTCTCTCTCTCTCTCTCTCCCCCCCCCCTTCCCTCTCTAAAAATAAATAAAATCTTTATTTTTCCCTCCCTCCCTTCCCTCCCTCCCTTCCCTCTCTAAAAATAAATAAATAAAATCTTAGAGAGAGAGAGAAACATCAATGTGCGGTTGCTGGGGGCCGTGGCCTGCAACCCAGGTATGTTCCCTGGCTGGGAATCGAACCTGCGACACTTTGGTTTGCAGCCCGCACTCAATCCATTGAGCTATGTCAGCCAGGGCAAATACTGTGACTTTTAAATTTTGTTTCACAAAAGTATCAATCCATGAAGAAACTGGTCCCACACTACAGAGTTTGTGAAACATCCCTCCAGAGGCCACAAAACTGAAAATTGCCAGTAGCAGAGAGGTCAGGCTGTGCTGCCCGGCACCTAGCTGAGGAGCAGGGCCTTGGGGATTGGAAGGGAACTAGTGGGAACATATCTAGGCCAGTGGGGTGACTGGAGAAAGCGGGGAGAGACAGTGGAAACGGGCTCTGGGTCCCTGTGAGGACAGACGAATAGGAAGGGGCCAGAACGCAGACAGAGGAGGGGGCCAGCGAGCTGGCAGACTAGTGCTCAGACCATGTCCCTCCAAAGCGAACAGCTTTCCCTCGGCTGCAGCCGGCCCTCACTGTCCTCAGTACAGATGCTCTTCACTTCTTTAAGTTATGGAAACATGCTAATAACCTGATGAAAATGATGCACTGTGTTCTCCCCAAATTGTACATGCCCATAGTTTTTAATACGAGTACAGCTGAACTTAAAATTGAATATAATTCTAGGACATTCATAAAACCCAACAAATCCCAAGTTAAAAACTCTTCAAATTTAAAAATTCCTGAGAAGATACCTAAGTTGATCACTGAAGTTGTTTCTGGGAGGGAAGAGGAAGGCAGGGATTTGGGGTAAGAAGGGAATTATAGTTTGTGCTAGTAAATACATTACCATGAACATGGCTTGCTTTTTCAATTGGAAAAGAAGAAAAAAAATACCAAAATTAGTTGGCATTCAGGGACAGTCTCAAACCATAGCTTAACATCATGGAAATGAGAAATCCTCTTGTTCCACCAAAATACCTACCAAACTTTTTCTGAAATTCTTCCATCAAGAAACATTTTCATTTCAAAGGGCAAGATTCTTAAAAATGTAAATACAACTTAAATCATTGGTATGAATGAATTTCAGCCTAAATATAAACTGATATCAGATCCTTTGCTATCTTTAAAAGGATTATGAAGCAGACAAATGCTGAACCTTCAAAGGGGTAAAGTGGGCCCCGACTGCTATGGCTCAGTGGGCTGGGTGTTGTCCCACGAACCAAAAGGTCACCAGGTCTATTCCCGGTCAGGGCACATGCTTGTGTTGCAGGCCAGGCCCTGGATTGGGGGCATGTGACAGGCAACTGGTCAATGTTTTTCTCACACATTGTGTTTCTCTCCCTTTTACGTTCCCTTCCTCAGTCTCAAAAATAAATGAATAAGATCTTAAAAAAAGGGGGAAGGGGCACACAGAATGTACAGAAAAGAAAAATTTGCAAGGCTGAAGCACATTTTGTTTATTTCACAATTGCTTGCAATCTGCTTGCACCCATGCACACACAAAAAACCAAACAGCTGTTCCAAGTGAGTTGACGTCCCGCTATGTAAATACGTTCGTATTTACTAGGAACTACGGCTCCAACCAACTTAGGGGGACTTTCTGAGCATCCTCTGAGACAGAATGAAATCAAGTTGGAGATTTCTTTTTTACTTAATTGGAGAAGCTAAAACTTCTATAAAAGAAGGTGTATCCTGTGTTATGAAGAATAAGTACAAGAGCTAATAACGGAGTCACATAAAACATTCAAACTTACTTGCAAAATATGTGGTCACATTTTGTGGAAACAGGCTCTTTGATTAGCTCCAGACTAGAAGGGTAAGGGGAAAAAAGATAAACAAAATGAATGTAGCTCAGTAATTCATTAAAAAATAAATACATTCTTAGTAAAGAAGTTCAACTTTAAGTGGCTGTAACTAAGTCAAGGTAAGGGTTAAGTTAATTCAATAAATGTTTATTAAATGTCTGCTGTGCGAGGAGCCAAAAATACAGCAGAGAATGTGATCCCTAGCCTCATGGAGCTTTCAGACATAAGAACAGGATATATACTACTCTTCTCAATATTCTATATTGTATCTATAGCATTTAAAAGGTTATCCAATACTACTTCACATCAATTAGGTTTCAATGATATACTTTTTTGAGTCATCAGTGGGTGCACATCCTATATCTTAACTAAACTTTAAGCTCCACAAAGACAAAAACTTCTTGTATGCCTTTTAAATTTCTTCATAGCGAAAATTTCAAGCATTTACACAAAAGAAACAGTAAAACGTAAAACAAACTCCCTTGTACCACCCCAGTCTCAACAGTTATCAACTCACAGCCAAAGGTTATTTCGTCCACGGCTGACACCCACACAAGGTCCAGATTGCTTTAAAATAAATCCTAGCCATCATACCGTTTCATCTATAAATATTTAAGAATCTATCTTCAAAAGAGACTTTTTAATTTTTTTTTATTTTTTGAAAGACTTTATGTATTTATTTTTAGACAGGGGGAAGGGAAGGAGAGAGAGAGACATTAATGTGTGGCTGCCTCGCACACGCCCCCACTGACTGGGAATCAAACTGGCGGCCCTTTGACCCGCAGGCCTGCACGCAATCCACTGAGCCACACCAGCCAGGGCTAAAAGACACTTTTTTTAGAATAACCATGAAACATCACTACTTCTAAAAAATAACTTCATTAATATCATTTAATACATAGTTAATGTTCTAATTTTCCTCACTGTCTCATAAAAATTTAACAATGAATTGACCTGTAGAATTTCCCACATTCTGGATTTTGCTGATTGTAACCCTGTGGTGAGTGGTGTTACACATTCCTCTAGCCTCTATTTCCTGTAAACTTAGACCTACAGGCTCAATCAAATTCACGTTCAATTTTTTTGGCAAGAACGGTTTTGGTATTGCATACTTTTATTACATCACTTCAGGAGGTACATAATGTTTCGTTTATGATTACTTTGCAAAAACAAAGCAATAAATACTGAGCCCTGGCTGGGCAGCACAGTTGGCTAGTGTTTTCCCTATACACTAAGGCTGTGTGGGTTTGATCCCCAGTCAGGGCACATACAAGAATCACCAATGAGTGAAGAAATAAGTGGAACAACAAATCAGTGTTTCTCTCCCCCCTCCCCCCACTTCTCTCTAAAATCAATCAATAACTTTTTTAAATACTAACTAAAAATATAAACTCTAGGAAAATATCAAAATTTCAAGAAAAGGAACTATATCACCCAAATTCCCATTCCTACCCACCTATCCACAAAATCGCAAGACCTTCCTGAGGTTACGTCGTTCACTAACATAGAAAGTGTTTACTGAACATCTACTACATGCAAACACTATTCTTGGAGATGGAAACACAGCAGTGAACAAAATAAAGCCTGCCCTTAACAGAACTCCCATTCTAGTTGTGGTGGACAGCTGATTGAGAAATAAACAAGAATGCATGGGAACAGAGCTAAAAAGAAAGATAAAGGTGAGTGGGACGGGGAGTGCAGTGCGTTTGGGGGAACACACACAGGTCAGCAAAGCCTCAGGGAAGGTGACCTTGGTGGACGGCTGAGTAACGTGAGTAAACAAGCTGTGCAACAGTTGGGAAAAGAACGTCCCAGCAGAGGGAGCAGAGAAGAGAGACTCAAGCAGGACCATGCAGGTGTATAGAAAGGCAGTGGTAAGTAATGTGCTAGATGGAATGACCAGCGGAAGGAAGTACCCGAAGAGGTCAGAGAGATAGCTGAGAGCCTGAGCAGCTGGGAGCCTGTTGGCTATTTTAGGTGTTTAGGCCTTCATTCTGAGAGCTTTAGCAACGGACTTTTGGCCAAGTTCAGGCAGGACATCAAACAACAGGTAACCTGTGTTGACAGGGATGTGGTTCTTTTCATTAAATGTTTAGCTTTTTAGAAAAGGGTCACAGGAAAAGCTGGGGGCGCTACCCCTCTTGGAGCACACCTGCCTCTTTCCTGTCCGCTCTAGTCCCCACCCCAGACCCTCTACCGTTGCCTTTCCCGCTCCTAAGCACCGAGGACCCTTCTTCTGCTTCTGTAGCTTTTCCTGAGCCTAGCAGCCCAGCCGGCTCACCTCTGCTACCTCTGTAACTTTCTAAATACACTTTCTGTTATAATTTGAGTTCCTGGCTCTGAAATCTTTCTTTGCCAAACTCAAGGACCAAGGTCCAATTTCACCAACACTGAGGTAACAGATCAGGGACGATTGAACAGTAAAAACAAACTTAGGGAAAAGAGGGATAATGCAGGCAGAAGGCAATCAATAACTATGAAACCAGAACAGGACCCTACTGGGGGCGGAAAAGGAAACAGCATTCGGAAAATGGTCCTGGAAATTAAAATTTAGTAAAAATGGTCCTGGCTGGTATAGCTCAGTGGATTGAGCGCGGGCTGTGAACCAAGGGGTCAGTGGTTCAGTTCCCAGTCATGACACATGCCTGGGTTGCAGGCCAGGTCCCCAGTGGAGATCACATGAGAGGAAACCACATATTGATGTTTTTCTCTTTCTCCCTCCCTTCCCCTCTAAAAAAATAAATAAATAAAATCTTATTTAAAAAAAAAAAAAAAACAGATCCAAAATTAGTTTAAAAAGATAATAATAAAATTTAGTGAAAATGAAAAAATGGATAGAAGTTTTGGAAAATGAAGCAGAAAATATCAAAACTGTCATTTGTACACACGTTAGCCTGACCTCGAAGCCCATGAAAATAAAAGCAAGACTTAAAAAAAAAATAGCTGGGGACAATAGCCTCGTTGTGAAAGGTTTGGTAACACAACTCTTACAATCACGGGGCTTCTGACGCAGGACCAGGATGGAAAAGACAAGATCCCAGTGAGTCAGAAGGCGGTTTCTGCTACCGGATCTCCTTTTCGTCGGTGGAGTAACCTTAGGCCAGGCACTCCACCTGACTGACCCCGAGGCTTCCTGTAAGGAGACTGTCACCCACTCTACCACACTCTGCAGGCTACGCTGAGAACAGAATTATATGCTACTTGGGAAAATGTTCACAACCCGAGATGACCTGGACTAATGTTAGTATTATTACTGGGACTGAATGTGACTAAAAAACAAAAACGTGACAAAGAGAACTCTTGATTTGTTACAAATCACTGCTCCTCAGCTAAGCTAGATATCAAAGACATTCTCGGTAGGAGAAAGTGGAGTTAGCTGGACCAACCACATGGCTTTCGTTCTCACCACTGCCTCCGTTCTGAACATAATTATATTTCAGTACGGTAATCACAAGCCAGACAACACAAACATGCTCTAAACGAACTTTGAACAGATGAAAACTCCAATACGTAAGAGGGTAGAAACTGCTGAAGAAAAAGCTTGAAGAGGGAATGAGAATAAAAAGACAAAAATGCAATGTTCCTCTAACAGGTCCTGATGAGAGTAAATGTTTACTCTAAAAGTGACTCAAATATTTTAAACACTTTTAAACCAATCAGTACTTTAGGTCTACTACATGTCTACATTCTGGGCTTCTAAAATGGAAACATAGTTGAAAAGAGAAGGCAGGTTGGGTTCCAAAAATAACCACCACTACCCAAGATACACATTTTAGAACACTGTTTTGAAAGTCAAAAATTTTATATAATCATAAGTAGGAAGTTACAAAGAACTACCAATTATCAAAAATAAAACACCAGTAGTGACTTAGGGGACAACAGAAGGCATTTTATCTCCAGAGCCCTCAAAAAAGTTGGAAACCTACTCTGCAGCTACCGTAAATAACAGTGTTTCCAGTAATTATTTATTAAGACATAACATCTGGCTGGAATAGCTCAGTGGATTGAGCGTGGGCTGTGAACCAAAGTGTTGTTGCAGGTTCGATTTCCAGTCAGGGTACATGCCTGGGTTGCAGGCCATGACCCCTAGCAACCACACAGTGATGTTTCTCTCTCTATCTTCCTCCCTTCCCTCTTTAAAAATAAATAAATAAAATCTTAAAAAAAAAAAAAAAAAAAGACATAACAGCAAAGTGTACCAGGCCCTGTATTAAAAAAAAAAGGCAAGCCCTGGCTGGCATAGCTCAGTGAATTGAGCGCGGGCTGGGAACCAAAGTGTCCCAGGTTCGATTCCCAGCCAGGGTACATTCCTGGGTTACAGGCCATAACCCCCAGCAACCGCACATTGATGTTCCTCTCCCTCTCCCTTCCCTCCCTAAAAATAAATAAATAAAACCTTAAAAAAAATCTTAAAAAAAAAAAGGCAGTACTTATGATTTCCGTACTAGAATTTTCCATTTAAATAAGTTTAACAATGACTAGAATTCAGTTTTATTAACAGTTTAAAAATTAAGTATAATTCTAATAAAAAACATTTAAAAATATAAGCTGCAAAATATACAATATTTGACTAATATGAAAATTTAGCATTAACTTTCATCTTGCAGCTTTAATTTTTATGTATCTCAGTTTTTTAATTGATGGTTTAATTTCCCATGGAAATGTAAAATTAATGGACCCAAATGCCACACTGTTGAGGACTTTTTGATCACTCTTTGTAATTATGAGTTTCATGACTTTTCAAAAGCAATTTTTCCCACAATTGCCATTTTCTGCTTCTCTGGCTCTGATGTTTCATAAATTAGGCTGTAAATCCCATTTAGCTCTCGTTTTTGTTTGGCTGAAACATTGAGGGGCAAGAGAGAGGACAGTTTCTTATAAATCCTGTACCTCTCTGAAAACACAACTTCCATTTTCTCTCTTTTAAAAAATATTTTATTTATTTATTTTTAGAGAGAGGAAAAGGGAGGAAGAAAGAGAGGGAGAGCCCTGGCTGGAGTGACTCAGTGGATTGAGCACCAGCCTGCAAACCAAAGGGTCGCCAGTTTGATTCCAAGTCAGGGCACATTCCTGGATTGCAGGCCAGGTCCCTGGTAGGGTATTGTGATATGCAACCACACATTGATGTTTCTCTCCCTCTCTTTCTTCCTCCCACTGCTCTAAAAATAAATAAAGAAAATATTTAAAGAGAGAGAGAGAGAGAGAGAGAGAGAGAGAGAGAGAGAGAGAGAGAGAAACACTACTTGTCTCCAGCAGGGGGCCTGGCTCCAGCCCCCCCCCCCAAACGCCCCACAACCTAGCCTTATGTCCTGACTAGGGATCAAACCAATGACCTTCCAGTTCATTTGCAGACTGGCACTGAAACCACTGAGCCATATCAGCCAGGGAACACTTTCTTTAATCTTATTTACTTGACTCCAAATATGATAAACAACTTTCATGAAGCACAAAGGAAAACTTACTTAAATTTACTCTCTTGTGTTCAAGATAAGGAGCAATAGATGCAGCTTTCCAATTTATTTACTGAATGTTACCCATACCCACCAATTATCACCATGTTAAAAACCACTAAACTATCAAAGAACCAATTTAGCGTATTATTTAATATCTTCAACAACTGTTTACCAAGTGGCTACTATATATCCCAGGCACTGTTCTAACTCCTGAGGATATGGAAGTAGACAAATAAAAACCTCTGCCCTCAGGGAGTTTATTATATTCTGTGGGGATAGAGGAAAAAGTTAAATAACTATTATATAATGCCAGACAGTAATAACAGTTATAGAAAAAAATAAAACAGGAAAAGGGCACAAGGGGTGTGTTGATGGTGGGTGGCAATGTTGTAATTTTAAATAAGACTGTCCGAAAATTCCTCTTTGAGGAGGTAGTATTTCGATCAAGATTTGCAAGCCATGCAATTATCACAGGAAGAACATTCCAGGGGAAACAGCAAGCATAAAAACTCAGAGGCAGGCGAATATGTCTCAAGTCTGAAAAACAGTTAGGAGGCCAAAATGACCAGAGTAAAGAGATTAAAAGGGAAAAAGGTAGACAATAATTTTTCTGAATTTTCACCAAGAGACTGAGGTATGGTTTTTTTTGTTTTTGTTTTAAGATTATTTATTTATTTATTTTTAGAGAGGGAAGGGAGGGGGAGAGAGAGAGAGAAACATCGATGTGCGGTTGCTGGGGGTCATGGCCTGCAACCCAGGCATGTGCCCTGACTGGGAATTGAACCTGCGACACTTTGGTTCACAGCCTGCGCTCAATCCACTGAGCTACGCCAGCCAGGGCTCTGAGGTATGGTTTTTAATTTCTTTTGTAGGTTTAAGAGATACCATAGAGATCGTCTAGTCTGCATGATGAGGTTAACCTTGTGGTGTATGGACTCTCTTTGGCAGCCGGTAAAGCTCATGAACCCCCTTCTCAAATGATTTTATTTTATTTATTTTTAAAAGATGTTATTTATTTATTTTCAGAGAGAGGGAGAAAGAAAGAGTAACATGGATGTGCAAGAGAAACATTAATTGGTTGCCTCTTGCACGCCCTCAACCTGGCCCGACCCCAGCATGCACTCTAATTGGGAATCAAACCAGTGACCTTTCAGTTTGCAGTCCAGCTCTCAGTCCACTGAGCCACACCAGCCAGGACTCAAAGCAATGCTTTTAAATGCATAAAGTAAAAAATACTAAATTATATAAGAAACTAATTATATTAAATTACAGTGCTATTCATAGGCCTCCAAGGGTCATGGAGGGTGGGCAAGATAAGAGCTCCTGAACACAGACAAGAAATCTTTTCAGGGTGATGAAAATGTTCTCCGTACCTTGATTTGGTAACACAGATCTTATATACGTGTGCGCATATATATGTTATCATATATGTTATATAAATATGTTCTGATATATAACAATATATACTCATGTTATATAATCAACTCATTGACTTAAGATCTCTGCATTTCACATATTATACTTCAATTTTTAAAAAGCCTGAATATTCTAGTTCCCTTTTTATTTTACTGACGAAGACAAAGGCTCTCTCAGTCAGAGACTTGTGGCTTTGAGGACTTGCGGTATTCTCACTTAAACATACAGGGCTAGTTGGAGCCAAAGGTTCTCCCTAAATCCTACCCACTCACAGACACCAATCACTCCTCATTTTATTCTGCCATTATTAAGTCTGTCCACTCCAAGTGATCAAGCTGGCTTTAAAGCTGGATGGAAAGCCCAAGTGCCACTCACTCCAAACCAGATCCTTGCCCAAATGCAGAACCAGCCAAGACAATGTGCAGACTAAGGAAGACACGAGGCTCTGTGTGTTCAGGAGATAGAGAGGGAGGGGAGGAAAAGTGGAGAAAAAGGAGTCATTTTCTATATTCTTAAAGCCCTTCAGTTAAGAAAAGCAGCAACTTTAATAATAGCCTAATCATTATAATTTTTTTCTTCTTACTATGTAAGGTCAGTTCTATTCATTTGCATAGGGTATAGTCATACCAGGAAGAATCTCAAGTCGATAGAATCTTCTGTTGACTTACCAGATGGGACACTCTAGGATTTTCTGCATAGCACTGAGGACGTTTTGTACCTCTTCAACGCGATCCACACGTAAGTCCATCTCTTCCTTTTACAATGAACTTTAACACGTAAACACAGGTATATATAAATAAATCACTATAAAAACATTAAGAAACAACAACTTAGTTTCATTGTCATTTTTAAACGAGAGAAATTTGAGATTGGAGTGCTTTAAAATCATATCACCCATAGAGCTAATATAGCAAAAGCTTTAATTTGATTTTAAATTCTCCGTTTTTCATTGTAATTAAGACCACTTTAAATTCAGTTTTTCACTTCCTTTTTAATCTCTTCCTTTCTCCAAGCAAGGGAAAGAAAGCCACCATGGGTGACTGGGTGGTGGCCTCAGCTTTCTCCAATTGTCCTGGCTGTTTTCTTTCTCTTGCAAAAAATCCAAATGAACAAAAACAAAAGCAACACCAATCAAGGCTCCCCACCCTTGTCCTTGCCCTGCGTTTCCCACTGGCCTGCACTCAGCTCGGGAGCCTCAGGCACATCCACGCCAGCAGCATCTGTGACTAGTGACGCCCGTCTATTTTCCTCTGGTTTCTTCTCGGAAACGCATTAGAATTCATTTAAGGGCTCTCCCTCCCTCAAAATCCTGTCTCCTCCTCTTCCCAGACACATGCCTGCCCCTATTCTTCCTCAGGGTCCCCTCTGACATATATCGACCCGTCTCTTTACATTGCGGTGCCCCCCCAAGACACATTCCAGCTCCTATCATCAGAATTCGCCGTCTGACACATCCAGCCCCCGCCTTATCCTTGGTGCCTCCCACCACCCCGCGACCCCAAAGTGTTCCCCTCCCCACGATTATCCCATACTCAATATCTTAGGCTTCTCAGGTCCCACCCTCCGCCCTCCCCTGCCAGATATAACACCCATCCTGCAATCCTTCAGAAGTCCCTTCCCCAACTCTCTCCACACCTGTTTCTTGCCTGTCCCCCGGAGCGCCCCTTGGGCCCTCCTCCCTTCCTCAAGGCTCTCTCACCTCTACTCAGGAGCAAAGCGTCTGGGCTTTCCGGGCCCAGGGGCCCAAAGATCTGAAAACCCCCCGGACCCTCCAGAAGTCAGAAAATTCAGCGAGATTACTGTGCGCAGTCGCAGTTTTAATTTATCTGTAATTCCCGCGCTTTACCGTTGCCACGGAAACCGGTCGCTGCGGCCGAGCAAGAGCCTCTCAGAATGCGAGACCAAAACACGTTACGGAAAGGCGGAGCAGAAACAGCCAAGCCTGCCGGGGCTCTCAATTGGTCATCTAGTCTTTCCCCGTGTTACGTAATTAGTTAGAGACGGAAGAGAAGGAATTCTCCCGGAGTTTTCTATTCGGCGCCCTCCCTCTCACCTCTACGCTGCCCGTGGCCGCTTATTACGTCACAGTGATTGCTGCAGTAGGGTCGGAATCGCTGAGGCCCGAATTGAGCGCAAGGTAGTGCCTACACACTCGCAGGAGGTCTCGTTCCCCCACCCCTTCCGCCGCAATGGAAGTCTCCAGTTTAGGTAAATAAAAGGATCTAAGGCAAAAAAAAACTACGATTTCCAGCATGCATTGCGGATCAAACGACCTTCGCCAGAGTGTTCCTTGGAAACTGTAGTCGCATGGAGGGGAGCTTCCGACACTGGAAGCGGGCATGATCCTCAGGGCAGCCCAGTTGATAGATTGAAGAGCTCCGCACGCTTTGCACGTCAACAGATATGGACTGGAATGTTAATGTTTTCGTACCTTGAGAGCGGAGAATAAGCTAAAGAACTTATCAGTCCTAGGGAGACTACAATTCCCATCCATCCTCGCGAGTTTCGGGTAAGGAGCTCTCTAAGGTCAGTGACCTAAGGGAACGCAGCGGGCGCCGAACTTGGGAAGGGGACTTAGGTTCCAACCCACGGCTGCGCATTCGTAGTTCCGCCCCTCGGCCCCAGTATTTGTTATTGTTGTGCAGTTCAGGCTGCTCTTGTCCCGCCCCCGCAAGCGCATTCTCAACCAATCAATAGGGTGGTAATTTTGAGGGACAAGTGGTCCAAGCCAATCATCTTGTCGGAAACTCAGAAACTGGGGACTAGGCCCGGTCTCTATCCGCCATGTTAGATTCACCCCGCAGGGGTAGCAGCAGAGCTGGCAGCAAACGGTCCCTGCAGTGGCCTCAGGCGGCGCCCCCCGTGGGCAGGAAGCTGGTAAGAAAGCTGCTGCGGTTACCTAGGGGTTGGGTCACGTCGCCCTGGGAGGGCTTGGGGAAGTTCAAAGGAGTCGTCCTCTGTAGAAGAGGGGCGACTTTTTCCGCGTCTGGGGGCAGCCGTTCTTTTCAGTGACCGGATGGGAGAGCCGTACTTGGGCTGAGGGGGCGGCTGCCGCCGGAGGGATGGAGGGTCCAGGGCTCCGAACGGCCGGCTGCTGCTGATGGAAGGCTGAGCTTCGCCGGCACAAAGAGGGCCTAGGCAAAGAAAAGGAGCGAGTCCTGAGAGGGTGGTGACACTCTCCGGGACGTGGAGTGCTAGGAAACAATAGCTGGAAGACTAGCATGAAGTCTGCAAGAAGAAGAAAAAAATGACCACGCAGTCTCCTCGCCCCATCCCCCTCCTCTTTTTAAGAACCTCGGGAAATAGTCTCCTTGGTCAGGGACCTCGGGTATTAAAAAGGTACCGTTTTTCTGTTTTGTCGAACACCCAGCTTTCCAGGTCACACATTTTAACGTCAGGGATATCTTGCACAAGCCTCTGGTGGAGACAGTAATCAAAGCTCAGGTTCCCGGGCCTGCTTCGTTAAGGACTTCTGGAATCCTGAAAAAAAAACCAACGTAGAGGAGAAGCTGACTTGTGCCAAGCGAAGGTGAGTCAGGAGCGTGAAGTTATAATAATGCCGTTTAATAAAAGCCAAAGCCTGGGCGCCAGCGTCCTGATTTCATTTGTCTTTAAATCTGCAAGGACAGAGGGGCCCACATAGCTTTGGTGATTCCCAAGATCAACATAATTTGCTCCCGCTGTGAGAATTTTCACGTATAAGCCGAGCGGCAGTTCTTTCCGAAGACCTGGATGCGATCCAGCTAAGCTAGCCTCCCCCACTTCCTGTTTTCTCATCAGCCGACCAGCTGGATGAGCTCCAAAGTATCTAAACTAATTTCCAATGGTGTCATTTGAGAAAGGGGGAGGAAGATTAGTTGTCTCGGGGACTCGGAAAAGTGGGAAGTGTGTGTGTTCCTCGGAAGTTGAAAAGGAAGACTGTTTCCGAGTCCCCGCTTTTGGCAGCCTGATCCAGTCACTTCATTTCCCTGGTGGTTTTGCCTGAGATTCTGGGGAGCTGACAGGGGATTCTTTCCCAGTTGTAAGGACCTCCAGAATGGCGTTCCATGGGACTAGATGTCTGCAGGATTGCTAGAAACCGGTGTTAATGTTTTGGTGGTGAACTTGACTCTAGGTGGAGACAAAGAATGACAAAAAAGAAATTGGGGGATGATTGTTTTTGGATTTAAAAAAAAAAAAAACCCTCGATCCTCAAACCTTCAAGGTCCTTTTTAACGACCTTGTGTTGTTTTGAATTGTTTCACAGGACAGTGCTTACGCTGTGGAAAAAAGAACTATTTTAGGTTCTAAAGACTGATATATCAACTTTTACATTTGAGTAACATTTGCAAAGAACTTGCGCACACGTTTTTGATCCTTGTGATAACATTGTGAGGTTGTCATACTTGTGGGGAAGATTAAATCCTCATTTGGTTGAGGATTTAATCCTAAGCATTCAACCAATCCTAAGTATTGGTTGAATATATGTTTATGCGGTTTACACTCTTTCTAATGTGTTTTCTGTTGCTCTTCCGCTCAGCTCTAGCCCCACAACATGGAACCACAGGTTACGCTGAATGTGACTTTTAAAAATGAAACTCAAAGTTTTTTGGTTTCTGATCCAGAAAATACAACTTGGGCTGATGTCGAAGCTATGGTGAGTGTTAGCTTTTTTAAAAAACATTTTATTTATTTTTAGACAGAAGAGACGGGAGGGAAAAAAAGAGGGAGAGAAACACCAATGTGTGAGAGAAAAAACGCTGATTGGTTGTCTCTTGCACGCCTACAACCCAGGGCTGTGCCCTGACGGGAATTGAACTGACGACCTTTCAGTTTTGGGGGCAATGCCCAGCCCCCTGAGCTTCACCAGTCAGGGCTGTGTTGACTTTGATTGGTTTCTCCATCCTTTAAGCATAGATTCCCCCCCTCCCCAAAAGTAGCTATTTTTAGCAGTGTTGTTTAATAGCTGCAAAGTCATTATAATGATCATTTCTGAGCCTTTTGGAACATTATTTTTGACAAGGATTCAGTATTCATATAGGAGATGTGCTCCAGTAAGGCAACAAATAAATTTCTTTTGAAGAATTGAGAAAGAAAAGGTAAAGTTATTAAGTGAGATAAAACATAGAAAACCTATTAATTTTAGAAACAGTCTGAGGAATGAATTGGTGTGGGCCCCACCCTAACCAGGCCCCAGAGGAGTGTTCTCTTGCCTGAGAGCAAATATGTTCCTGTGGTTTGTAAGCCATTTAAGATAGAACTTACGTTTTGCAGGCCCTGATTCCTTGCTTCGATTGCTAGGGCACAGGTTATTTCAAAATTGAGCAGAAAGAGCTCTTGCTGGTGCTTAGACAGAAGCTCGGGTTTTTTGGGGGGGTTGGGGGGTGCTGGTTTATACTTTCCTTCCTCTTGGTTTGCCCTTTGTACTCTTGTTTGGTTTGCAGTAGTGAATGTTTTACTTCCTGTATAACTATTTATCTAACAAAACCCTTTGGATAAACCTGCTTTTACCTGGTTAGTAAAGACCTTTAACTGCTTGTGTGTTATGGCAAGTAAAAAAGAAAAGAAATCGTGGAGAGACCACAAATTGTAGTCTACTCTAGTCCTCCGTCCTCCAGCAGACAACTTCTTACCCTGTCCTGGACAGATGGTCATCCAGAAAGTCCGGTCTTGTTTGTCAGATGATCTGAAAATCAAATAGTTATTTTTTTCCCTAGTAGTTAAATTAGCTGACAGCTTGCCTTTTTTCTGTATTGTAAATGTTAAGTTACAGAAGTGTAGTATGTGCCCATTATAAGTGGAAGTGAAACAATCCAAAAAGGTTAATATCCCTCCATTGCCCCCTCCCTCCATCCACTGTTCCCACCTCTTTGGGGTAATCAGTGTTAACATCTTGATATGTGTTTACCCACATTTTCCTTGTTCATACAAATGTCGTACTAGGACCATATTGTAAACATTACATTCTGCAGCTTCCTTTTTTTACCCAATAGTTCTCCAAGAATAGATAAGAATCCAAGTTCACTTTTTTAAAAGCATAGATTGTCCACAGTATTATTGTATTATAATTTAACCATCCCTTATTGACAGATTGTTTATGTTTTCTTTTTAATTGAGATATAATTGGCATATTAGTTTCAGGTGTACAGCATAACAATCTATACACATACTGCAGTAAGTCAGTCTAGTTCACATCTATCACCAGACATAGTTACAATTTTTTCAACTGGAAGTTTGTACCATTTGACCACCTTCTACCCTCTGCCTCTGGCAATCACAATGTGTTCTCTGTATGTCCGTGTTTGTTTATTTTTAAGATTCCACATAAGTGAAATCATACATTATTTGCCTTTCTGTATCTGACTACTTCACTTAGCATAATGCCCTCAAAGTCAAAAGTTGTTGTTGTTGTTTAAAAATGTTATTTATTTATTTTTAGAGAGACTGAAAGGGAAGGAGAGAAACATCAATGTGTGGTTGCCTCTCACACAACCCCTACTGGGTACCTGGTCTGCCGGGTACTCAGGCATGTGCCCTAACTGGGAACCAGTGACCCTTTGGTTTGCAGGCCAGTGCTCAATCCACTGAGCCTCACAAACCAGGGCTATTCCCCCACCCCCACCTATAAAATAAACTACAAGGGAGAGCTCTTTGTACATAACTTACGCAGTGTTCTTTAGAATAAAGTTTCCCGAAGTGGGATTAATGGGTCAAAAGACATGTGATGTTAATATTTAATGAATACTGCCAGGTACTTTGCAAAACAGTTGTAGCACGTCACAGAAATATATTATAGTGACCTAAATTTTTGACAACATTGGATGTTTTGGCTTTAATTTTTTTTTTTGTCACTGTTGAGATGACATCTCACTGCTTTAATTTGCATTGCTTTGACTACTATTAAAGTTTAACATTTTTTCATATATGTTAGACATACCTGATTTCTTTTTCTATGACATTTCTGTACACTTTTGCCCACTTTACCTGAGTTGTTAATCTTTTATTAGCAGTTTTGCAAGTGCTCTTCATGTATTGCAGATATTAACCTTTTGTCTGTTTTGAGTTGCAAGTATTTTTCCCAGTCCATTGTTTGTGTTTTGACTTTGTTTATAGTGGGGTTGTTTTTTTTAAGATTTTATTTATTTTTAGAGAGGGCGAGGGAGGGAGAGAAAACATCAGTGTGTGGTTGCCTCTCACAAGCCCTCTACTAGGGA